TCAAAGATTAATGTATTTCATTTTATTAATGGGAAATTGTCGTAGTTTTTTAATATCCGGTATCCGGCCGGATAGTGAGTTACTATCCGGTATCCGGCCGGATAGTAAATTTAGGCCGGATATCCGGCCTACCGGATAGTTACCGGATATCCGTTTCATCTCTAATAATAATGCATTTATAATTTCGCGTGGGCGTATGGGATTCGGTAACGTGCCTCTGCTGTGCTTCGACCTCTTGCCCAATAGCAGTTGAATAATCACACTAAATATAGGCAAAAGGTTTTATTTTGAAATCGAAAATGACCTATAAAAGTACCATGGGCCAATAGCATAAAATTATAAAGTTTTTCTTTCCAAAACTTGCCTTTCATCTGTTTTTCTTGCCATTGACTTAGAAAACTACCTAATAGAAAGTGCTAGTTGTTTAAATAAACCACACTTCAGAATTCTAAACTGCATTTGCTTGTCAAATCGTTTAGAATGTGTTTTAAATAACCCATGAACATTTTCCCATCGAGAGAGACGTGCCTAGAGTTAAAAAAAACCGGCCAAGTGCGAGTCGGGCTCGCGCACAAAGGGTTCCGTAGCAGCAAATATAATAAACTTATTATGTCAATTTAATCAACCTATCTCAAAAACTATAAGAGATACTTTGATCAAACCAAAAATCGTTGAAAGAGTTAATTAGCATGCATCACCTCTATTTTTTTTAGAATTTTATACCCCGTAGTTATAAAAATAGAGGGGGGGGGACATACTTTTTACGACTTTGAGAGCTGATANGTTTATAGGCCAATTTGTAATAAAATATGTATTTATTTGTCAAAATTAAGGTCCTAACATTGTTTCTAGATGGTTCTAGAAAGGATTGAAGACCTTTTAGGTAGTTAAACGTAGTCGAGAAACATACGGACTTTCTAGTTACTTTTGCGTGGGAAACCAGATTTCTCTCACATAAAAGGCTAGCGGGACAAGAATTATGCAAATAAATGTACACATATACGGAATTTCGCCATGAAGAAGACACAGGATGACCTCAAAACTGGTATGGAACTACTTTTAGGTTATGTTTTAAAAAAATGACGAAAATTTCGAAATATTACTATAAATATACTAAAATAATAAAGAAATCGCATTTTCTGACTCACCCGGATGCTTCCGTGATGGTTTTTTTGCTAAAAACCACCCAATATGTGGAATCTTTTTTCTGGCACCTCGTACGACAAACTATACTTGACAGATGACGGGTTGTTGAATTTAAAGATGGCGCCTAAAATTACGTCATTCGGCGGGAAAATTGAAAATGCGATTTCACCTTACTTTTTATTTAATCTAATGCAATATAAAATTATATTTACGAAATATATAGACTTACCTCATAAAATGTTGTGATGTGTGGATATAAGTAATATCCGATGAGCTTTTGTTAGCACATTTGAAAGTTCCTCTTCAGTCCGATTCCGTGCGCTGTTGCCAGTTGGCTATTGCGTCAGAAAATGAATAACGTTCAAACGCACACATTTCAAAACACTGAAACATAACTTTCAGTTTATTTCACTGCATTCAATTTCAGTAATATAAAACAGATCACAAAATCTATAGTTATTAGTTAAAACTCAACTAACTTTTGTATAAAAAGTTTGGTGTAAGAGCGGCAACGTCGCTACTTTATTTTCACTCCTCAAAACGAAACAAAGAAATTTTGAAAATGGAACGAGTCAATATTTTTCTTTAAAAACCAATTGGAAAAAATCACGAACTAATTTTAAAAAACTCAATTAGAATTATTAAAACGAAAATTGGAGCTGCGTAGAAGGCACAAAATAACTGTTGAAACTGGCTTTGCTTTTGATCGGCTTGTTTTTGTTTCCTACCTTTCGCGTTGTAAACAAAGAACAGTGTTGCCATATAAATAAAACTGAGAAACTACTACGTCTTTAGTAGATTTACAAATAGCTATTTTTCTCAATATTCATTCGTTTCATATTTTGTTTTTATTTATTAAAAGTTCCAAGATCATAAGATTTTTAAGGTAACAAAAATGGCAGACTGTTTTTACGTATTTTAAGATGTTGTGTAAGTAATATTTGTATTGCCAACGTGGACTGTTTCGAACACTTGTATTTTGAAATTTGAATTTAAAAATTCGAACGGATTGTTTTTTTGTGGGACACTGCAAACAGGACGTTTAGCGGGCTAACCCATTTCCATTTTCTCTTACTCTCACGAAATGGTGATTGTTTGCGATAAAATTAGTGTTAAAACTCGTACCTACATTCTTCTGAATTGGATCCTGCAAAAACCAGTATAATATCTGCAAAGGTTCAGACGCCGTATGAATAAGCCCTCTAGATGGAATCACCACACCAGTCCAGCGGTCGACGGTTTGGTTATTATGAAAGTGGTTGTGTACCTACTTACTCGTATTACTTAAATTAAATCTGTCGATATAATTTTTAGGTTTGCCATTGCCACGCTGAAGTTCAGCTTTGTTTTATTAACGCAAGGTAGGTATACGTTCTGTGTTTTGTAGGGTTACTTACTTACTACTGCTGTCTGCTGCTGCTTGTATGCAAAAAGCAAGGTTAAAAAAATAACTGAGGAAAATAAACTTTCAACTTGTGTTTGATACATAATATAACGTAATTTATACCTAGAAGTTATAAAAAAAAGAAAAGTTATAAAATTGATATTGTATTAAACGAGTTTATTTTGCAAAAAGATTTATTTTTATCAGTAGCTACTTTACTTACTTATTACTACTAAATTAGTAGAAAGGACAATAACATAGAAACATTTTAAAAGCGCGGGAATTTTGAATATTCGCGCTTGTCGAACCGAGAATAAAAACAAATGGCGCGAAAAACTAGTGAATTTATTTTTAGAACTTTTAAATTGTTACTATTTTAATTTCTTGATAATAAATAAAAATTAATAGGGTGTTTTTCATGTGTTGTGTTTAGTTTAGGCCTATTCCTCCTTTTATATCAATTTATTATTATTCCTTGTTTTATTATGAAGGCCAGCTAAAACTACTACGATAGTTTACTATAGGTAAAAATGAAACAAAGAATGCATAAATTAAATAGAGATATATTTTACTGAACAAAAAAACTTACAGCGTTTACACTTTCTTATAAGAACTGAAATACCAATAAAGTATTCCCAACTTCTAAAACTACCTTAAATATAAAATTGAACATCTATAAGGATAAAAACGATAATGGCAGAGCTATATTAGGTAATATTCGCAACATAATATTGTTTTAAACTTTTGGAACTTGATACCTCGCAGACTTTTTGTCGGCCGATAGTTTGGTCGGGCTGTTAATCAGTATGAACATGTATGGAAGTGCGCACATTACACTGATTTGGTATCGGCCGATTTCTCATACAAATTGAAAGCCTATCCAACGGCCGACTAAAAATCTGTAGTTTGTTTGTCTTAAGTATACCACGTAGCTACAGTAAAATAGCACCACAACTAAATAAGAGTGACGTCACTGATCTGCTTGATATACTACACCTACTTATTGCTAAAATATTTATTCGCAAGTAGTTTTATAGATTATAAAATAAACATACAAAATCAGCTCATATAACTTAAAGTTCTTGCAACTCAGAACGCGAGTGAGCTTTAGTTGTGTATGTACGTGTACATACACATAACGATAGTGTAATGTAATGTCTATCAAAACTTTTGAAAAACTAACAGTATAGTTCCAAAATACTGAACTGTCCTATGCATGACATTGACAGTGGGGCGCCACCGTCAATACCGGATCGCTGGTTCCGATTTTTGCCATGTTGGAAACCAATAGTTGAACGATGGTAGCGCCCCCCTGTCATTGAGTTTGGTGGGACAGTTCAGCGTGGGTCATCTATAGCGAGCTCACTCGCCTTCGTGAATTGCAACAACATACATAATTATGGTTCGACGATGCTTTAATACTTCTCAAAAATCATAAACAGAAATATAAAACTACATACAAAAGTATTTTTAAACACTAGCCGCATAATAAATAAGCATTTTCTTAGAAAATAATACCGGAACTGACATTTACAACTTTTACAAGCCTGCGAGTTAAGTGCGCACTTGGCGGCCGTGACGTCACAGACGCTCTGGTACGGACGGGGCGAGCGCAAGTGAGTGCGAGCGACTCGCATTTCAGCGAGATGCGCAGTTAACTTGACCTGGTTGTACTAATATTATAAATGCGACAGTAACTTTGTTTTCTATTCACGCTTAAACTACTGAACCGATTCGGATGAAATTTGTTGTAGAGATGAGATACATAAGGTAAGAGACAGGAAAAAAACATAGAATAGTTTTTATCCCGGTTTTAGAAAAGGGGAAAAGTTTTTTTTTATCCACAACGAGGAAGCTCTTGGCCTGTATCTCACCTGTTGGTAAATAATGATCAGGCCAACGGTGGAAGCGAGCTTCACCCGGTATCCTCAACCACGGAGGAACTGGCTATCTTACCTCTGTCCTGTGATAGACCAAAATCTACTCAATAAAAATAAGACGGGTTTTCCTTCCTCACGCTATAACTCCAGAACGCACGAACCGATTTCCACGGTTTTGCATTCGTTGGAAAGGTCTCGGGCTTCGTGAGGTTTATAGCAAAGAAAATTCAGAAACTCCACGCCTAAAAGGGGGGGTAAGACAGGATCCACGCGTACTTAGTCGCGGGCGGCCGCTAGTCCGTATATAAAAAGTGCCAAAAGCGAAATACTACTCGCTGATTAATCACGATGTCTCAGAAACTACAACACCTACAAACTTAAAGGCAGGTATTAGTTCCTTATCGGCTGTAACAGACATCTTCTAAGAACGAATTTTACGAAACTCCACCCCCCTTAAAAGAGTAAAAAGGTAAAAAGGTTGGCTTTGTATGAAAGTCCTATGTTTTTACGCGTACGAAGGCGCGAGTGATCGCTAGTCTATAAAAGGCACAACTTTACTAAAAGACACTTGATTTTTCGTAGAAAATCAATCATAATCACAAAATATACTTATGTAGATCCAAAATACTTATTTTTCATTTGATTTCAATTTAAAAAAGCTCTGAATGGATGTCTGTATCAAATTGTCCGGAGACCGTTCATTCTTGAAGTGTTTCTTCTTTATCGGTGTCACATCTTTTTCAGGCTTGCCTATCACTTCTCCGGACTTCTTATCAGCATATTTTAATACATACTGCTTTAGAGTTTTCTGTGGTTCCGATTTGGATGGGCTTAAATTCAACGTTGGATCTGATTTCCAAACGTATACCAGCTTCAAGCGTTTTCTCTTTTGATTTTTCTTTGACTTTCTTTCTTCGGGACCCTCCGATCTCTTAGATTTCTTCTTCGATTTGATTTTCACTTTCTTTTCTTTACTGGCAGCTTCCAAAGCGAAATCTATGGCTGTTTTAAGTTTTATAGTACTAGAGTTCGAGTTGCAATCACTATGCTTATGACTGAACGTACATTTGAAATCTCTATCTACCTCATTCAAGTACTGACTCTTGAAGCTTTCCAAATCAATATCAACAGTATTTTCCTCCAAAGATTCCTTATCTCTTGGACTAAATTTGAACGCACAGAATTCATTTTTAGCCGGACTTTTAACGTTTGTAAATTTCAGTACCACATCATTTGCATTCTCAATCTGTACCAGATCTATGTTGATGACATTGTTGTCTTCTGATATCTCCATGCTCGAATCCTTTTGTATTTCAACGGTTTTTAACTTTTTTGGGGTATCAAATATTGGTACACTGTTACTGTCATCAGCTATGAACTCTGGGGGTAACTCAAATGTGCTTCTGGAGTCATCGTCTGTGTCAATATCTATGACTTCGTTTGACTTCTGACCTTCAGTATCCGGGCTGTTTTCTGTTTGTAATGATTCTGTGTTCGATTTTTCAAGGCTTGTATTGGTGAGAGATTCTTGTTGAATTTCTCGTTGTGGTGATTCGAGTTTTGGTTCCTGAAATAGGAGACATTTTTATTATAAAAACACACACTCCTGTGGCATTGTGAGTGCCTACACTCGAGACTTTCTCTGCTTAAACGGCCATCAGTTTTAAAGAACTATGTATAAAATATGTACTTTTAAGTTTCCATGAAATACTGTTTACACTGCGTCTTCCTTTACGTGGTTACTACTCGAGAAATTTCTGCACACATCGTATTCAGTAAGAGCTACTATTCGTTCGCATTCCAGGTTGCAAGTAATGTACGTACGGCACCACTACATACACAGTGACGCGTAGAATGCATTCTGCTAAAGCCTGGTCCGTGAGCACGTAGAATTTTGTCCAATGACCCCAAGCTACCCATCCTTATCGCTCGCGACTGTGTGACGGGCGCCCGCAGTGAGTGTGCGAGCGCGACAGCAACATAATGACAAAATTCTACGTGCTCACGGACCGGGCTTTACAACGATATGACTTCCGGGCCTTTCTCACACGAACATCCCGTTTGAAGTGTCCCGCAAAAAACAGATCCATTCTAATTGGAATTTAAATTTCAAACACACTTGTGTCACGGTAATACTATGCTTGTGTGTTCACGTGATAAAACTGGATTACCGTGGGAAAGGGCCTTTAGAAGTGTTTGCATAAAATTAATAATTACCTGATCTTCTGTAGTTATATCTATAGCGTCTTTTAAAGGAGAGGCCGGCTCTTTAGTCTGTGTTTTATTCTGTTCCATTGCGTCGTTTACTAAGTCTTCTAAGATGCCACTGGAAAAAAACAACATAATATTTTATAACATTTTCGATGACATTTCTGCTTTTTCGCAGTTTCTTACACAGTTTTTCATAGTTAACAAAATGAGGGCTAACGTATTTAGCATCTCAAGTTGGCACCACTGTAGAGTAAGGTCACTGTCACTTGCTAAAGTCCGGTCGCCGAACAGATAAAATTTTGTCCAATGACCCCAATCTACCCATCCCTATCGCTCGCGCGTAATTATATTGCTGTCGCGACTGTGCGACGGGCGCCCGCAGTGAGTGTGCGAGCGCGACAGCTAATAATTATGCGTGAGCGATAACAAATGGGTAGCTTGGGGTTATTGTACTAAATTTTATCTTTAGTGGCGCCAACTGGTGAGCGCTAAAACGTAGCCTTCATTAGATTTTTTTTACTATTACATAAGAATTACTTTATGAAAGGCTCAAAAAGTACCATTTTCCAACCAAAGTAGCCGAAAAGTTCGCAACACGTCTTTGTAATGAGGGCTATCGTTTTTATACTTAACAGTTGGCACCCCTGGCGATTGACAGGACCTTACTCTACAGTGGCGCCAACTAGTGAGCGCTAAAACGATAGCCCTCATTGGAATGAGGTTGTGTTCTCAACTTTTTGGCAACTTTGGGTGTCACGAACTATTTGACGCTGACTAACAACGTAACGAAGAACTGACGGCCGATGGGGTAACAAGGTTCTGGAGTGGAGGCCGCCCACCCACAAGGTGGACCGATGACATCATAAAGGTAGCAGGGAAGCGCTGGACGCAGGCCGCTACCAATCGATCAACGTGGAAATCATTGGGGGAGGCCTATGTTCAGCAGTGGACGTCCTATGGCTGAAATGATGAATGATGTATAATACTTACTCCATAATCTTCCTCTTTCTGCTCATTGGCTTAGGTTTCCTGAACCTATGTCTCAATTTTTCCAGAACGTTCGGTGCAATTTCCAACTTGTCCGTGCCCAAACTCTCAATGCTCTCTCTGAATCCTTGCTCAATCAATGTTACTGGTGACAGCATTGTGTTCTCAATATCTTTTGATGATCGTTCCGCTGCTTTTGTGTATCTTTTTGGTGTTTTCAAGTTTAATTCTTCACGACTGCTCTCTAGGGTAGGTAAGTCTGAAAAAAATATTTATTTTAGATATTTGACTGCAGTCGCACCTGGTGTTAAGTGGGATGCAGTCTAGGATGGTACATATCTACCTTATAAGTGCTTATTCAATCTCGCCTTGAAAAGGCCCGAATTACAGTGTTTGGGAAAGACAGCAGCAGGCATTGATTGGTTGTTATGTGAAGTCATACATTAGACATTTATATCGAAACACTATGGTGTAGTGGTTCATAATAAGGGGGCGTCCATTAATTACGTGAGACAATTTTGGCAATTTTTCAACCCCCCCGCCCCCCTTGGTGAGATTTTTCCAGACCCCCTCCCCCTCCCCACAATCTCACGTGAGATTTCTTAAAATAAATATTTGCAATGTAAATGGGTTAGCTATCCTTCGATTAGGATTTAATATTAAAAAAAAAAGTTTCTTCAAATTTCTTCATTGTTTAGACGATTTAGAATAAAAAATTGAATAAACTATCATTATCATCTTATAATATATTTATTTTTTAAATTTATAATAACCTAGTTATCTCGCAATTTGACCCTTTTTCATGCTGAAAAAAAATTACGTGATATTTGTCGAGACCCTCCCTCTCCCCTGCGTGAGATTTAGTGAGGTTTTTCTTGACCCCCCTCTCCACCCTAAACGTCTCACGTAATTAATGGACGCCCCCTAACGGAATACTATGCCGGGTTCGATTCCTGCACAGTACAAACATTTGTATACATGGGCGTACCCAGTACTATAAGTCGCTTCGAAGGAGTTACTAACCGGTCTTTATGGAAATCATTGGGGGAGGCCTATGTTCAGCAGTGGACGTCCTGTGGCTGAAATGATGATGATGGGTAAAAAAGTAAGCTAATAAATACCTTGCTGCTCAGGCTTTGATTCTGAGGATGAGTTTATTTGTGATGATGTACTCGAGTTTCTGGAATAGAAAAATAAAATTATGAGTAAAACGCGGAGCGGAGCAGAGTAACCTATCCATTATTTGCACATTTGCACTCCGCTCCACTTCGGTGGAAATGGATCGAGCGGAGATGTGTCGGGTGCATTTGTTTTACTATAAAATTTGATAGCGGCGGTGGCGCGTCGCGGAGATTTGCGGAGAGGTGCGTTGCGGAGATTTGCGGAGAGGTGCGTTGCGGAGAGGTTCGTTGCGGAGATTTGCGGAGCGGTGCGTTGCGGAATGGTACGTTGCGGAGAGGTGCGTTGCGGAGATTTGCGGAGCGATACGTTGCGGAGATTTGCGGAGAGGTGCGTTGCGGAGATTAGCGTAGCGATGCGGTGCGGAGATTTGCGGAGCGGTGCGTTGCGGAATGGTACGTTGCGGAGATTTGCGGAGAGGTGCGTTGCGGAGATTTGCGGAGCGATACGTTGCGGAGATTTGCGGAGAGGTGCGTTGCGGAGATTTCCGGAGCGGTGCGTTGCGGAATGGTACGTTGCGGAGATTTGCGGAGAGGTGCGTTGCGGAGATTTGCGGAGAGATGCGGTGTTTCTAATATAACAATAGACTGATAGCTGACAGCTACGCACAGCTCACACATCTCCTCTCGTCTCCGCACCGCTCCGCTCTTCTCCGCTCCGCTTTGGTGGAAATAGCCTGCCAGCTTCGCCGCACAACTTTGAATTCACTCCGTCTTGGTGAAATATGCTTAGTACTAATAATAATAAATAAAAAGCCTGTTTATTTTCCTATAGGTATCTGACAAAACATTGTTTTATAGTTTCTTATTAAAATTTCTAGATTAGTAATAATTTTATAATTAATTCTATGTTAGTTTACTTATAATATAATGTGTCTATAGGAAGTCCTTCAATTTCTCTCTATTCTGTGCTAGTTTTATCCAATATGCTTAGTAGGTACATACCTATAATAAGATTGTCTTTGCTTCGTCCGTCTCAGTATCCTTCTACCAGCTACCGATTCATTTTCAGAGTTATCAGCCGCATTGTCTATGGCAATGTCGTCGGGTGGGCTGGTGTCTATGGTCTCAATTGATGAGGGTAGTTCGAAGGAGCTTGCAGGGTTATCTATGATGACGTCATTTGACTTTGTAATGTCGTTTTCGCTTGTCTGTGGTTTGCTTTTTGATTCTTCAAGGTTTTTGTTTGTCTCTGGTTCTTTAGTATCTAGAGGGGGTAGCTGAAATTTAAAAAATGTTTGTTAATCTATACTTTAATATTATAAAGCTGAAGAGTTTGTTTGCTTGAACGCGCTAATCTCAGGAACTACTGGTCCGATTTGGATAATTATTTTTATGTTTGATAGCCCATTTATTGAGGAAGGCTTTAGGCTATATAACATCACCCTAAAGCCAATAGGAGCGGAGCAGTAAAGAAAAATGTTGCAAACACGGGAAATATTATTCAAACTACACTCAACATCAAATAAACCGCACCTTCCGCGACGCGAACTTTAAAGATTTTCTTGTGACACAATCATGGTGTCCCAACAATATTGGTGTTATTTGAAAGCCCAATAAATATCCTTAAAGAAAAATACATTACATTTCTAAATAAATGATTAACATATACCATAAATGTGACTTGAAAATAGACCTCACTTTGGGCTCACCTCTGGGATCAATTAGACCAATTTTTATGGTTATTAAAACCAAATAAAGATCTCACGTGTCCTCTTTAACAGATGGATAGCGATTAATCCCAACTTAACAGTTTTATAGTCATAAAAAATGGCTATAGCGTAACTACCTATTTTTTGAAGAAGTGACTCTGGATCCTTGTAAAGACACATTTTTGGGGTAAAAACCTTTCCTTTAATGAAATGAAGTTTAGAACTAGGCTTTCAAATGGTACCAATGTTGGTGGGAAGTGGGGATGCAAACGTTTGATAAGTGCTTGTCGCGGGAGGTGCGATTTATTTGATGCCGAGTGTATTTTCACGCGTACAAAGTCGCTAGTATTATATAAAACTAGCGGCCGCCCGCGACTTCGTACGCGTGGATCCCGTTTTACCCCTTTAGGGGTGGAGTTTTGTAAAATCCTTTCTTAGTGAGCACCTACGTTCTAAAAGGAACCCCCATGCAAAATTTGAGACTCCTAGCACTTGTAGTTTCTGAGATTTCGTGATGAGTGAGTCACTCAGTAAGTGACCTTTCGCTTTTATAGATATAGATGTATTACCTGATTCTCTTCAGTGATTTTTGTAGTGTCCTTCTTTGGAGAGAACCACGCTCGGACCGGTTCTTTGGTTTTAGGTTTTTTCTGAATAATTATGTCGCTCACCAAGTCTTCTAATATACCGCTGAAATTAGTAAATAATATATTAGTATGGACATATTGTTAGGTAAGTGACATCATGGTTAGCTAATGCAAATTTTCGGTTCGAGCAGTTTGGAATGCATTTAAAGATTTTAAAGTCAAAGTCAAAATTTCTTTATTTGTTTAGACTAATAAATAGTTCTTACAAATCGTCATTTTGCTCTTAAGGAGCCTCTACATGTCTCATAATCTTTTTACCCTACCAGCGCTTCGAGACCAACATTTGGCAAGTGCTGAGAAGAAGCGCCGCAACAAACTCAGTTACCACTGTCTGCCGGTTAATATCAATAAATAGAAATAGTAGTAGTAGATACATTCTCTCAGTGGTCGCAGGTTTTTTATACTTAAGTACACAGATGGCCCGCGTCCCCCTTTAAAGGTCTTTGCGCCTCCCACTTTGGGAACTAATATGGATGTTTCCTGGGTCAAAAAGCAAGAGTTTTAATTAGTCCGTCAGTTAACTTATCAAAAAATACTCTACACGTATTTTTCACTTTTTCAAACTAATGAAAATTTAAAGAGATAAAGCGCGCCAAAGTTCATAAGAAGAGGCCCGTGACGTCAATGCGTGCATAAAAGAGCCGCACGTTGTGACGTCGTGCGGAACTTCAACGCATCATAACTATGTAATTATTTGTTAGATTGACAAATTTTTATATGTGTCCAATATTTTTTGATATTAAACATGACGGACTAAAAAAATTTTTTTAGGAAACTAGCCTATTACTACTTACTCCACAATCTTTCTTTTCTCACTCAGTGGCTTGGGTTTTCTGAATTTATGCCTCAATTTTTCCAGAACTTTTGGTTCGATGACACTCTCTGCTGCCCCCAAACTCTTGGCTTTTTCTCTAAAACCTTGCTCTATGAGTTTAACGGGCGATAGCAGAGTGTTTTCAATGTCTTTCAATATGGTTTCAGTGCCTTTATATTTTGGAATTTTCTGCTCTTGAGTTAGGTTTGGTACATCTGAAAATAATATTAATTTTTAAGGATATTGTTGCTTGAAATAAAATACATACAGGGTGGAATTTTGTCTTGCCACCTGGAGGGAAAGTACTCTAAAATACTCCTAATACTGTAGATAGAATAATTTACTCAAAAAAAACATTGCCTTATTTTTGAAAGGAAAGAAAACTGCATTCAAAGATTTCCTGCATAATTATCGAAGATTCACTACCATACCATTTTTTGTAAATAAACACTTTATTAGCAAAAAAAAGAAAGAAACTAAAAAAACTACCTTGATGCTCGGCTCTTTGATTTAAAGAATTGGATTGCGATGATGAACTTAAATTTCTGAAAATAAAAATAAAAATGCAAAATAAAATTTCAAATTAAAGCCGTTACTTAATAAATAAAAGCCAATAAAATTATAAGTGTAGCACTTAACTCAGGTAGTGCCTTATGTATGGGAGGCACGGGAGGGTGTCTTTGTGACGTCAAACGTCAGCGAGACTTCAGTGGGTCTAGACAAGTGGCACTTTTTGATCGAATCGAAAATCGAATCCGTTGCAACTCCATACAAAAAAAAGACTTCGACCACCTTTCGACATAAGTGTCACATTTTGCATTTTGTCTAGGTGCAAATTAGACAAAGCAGATGCTTCTGTGGGTCTAGACAAAGTGCAAATTATAATCGCAAACCAGTCGAAAAGTGGTCGAAAAGCCCCTTTTTTGTATGGAGTTTTGACGGATTCGATTTTCGTTTCGATCAAAAAGTGCGTTTTGTCTAGGGGGGCAGATTTGTACCCTGCCACGTCATAATATGTCAATGTCACTCCCGTGCCGCTCCCATATCCAGGCACTGACAGCAAACAACAATAGTCTATAGTCTGGTCTCCGAGCACGTAGAATTTCGTCCAATGACCCCAAGCTACCCATCCTTATCGACTGTGCGACGGGCGCCCGCAGCGAGTGTGCGAGCGCGACAGCAACATAATTACGCGCGAGCGATAAGGATGGGTAGCTTGGGGTCATTGGACAAAATTCTACGTGCTCATAGACCAGACTATAGTCTTTATACATACCTGTAATAAGACTGCCTTTGCTTCGTGCGCCTCAGTGACATCCGACTCGGCATCACCGGTCCAGTCTGCGAGTTGTTTAGCTGTGATGCTAATACCACTGGAAAAATATTAGAATAGGTTATGGCATAACCTTAACTTAATTTTTATCCGATTGAAATCTAGGAGGGAGGGAGGGTTCAAGTCATACCTAGCTTCTGGCCTAGGAGGGGGAGGGTTCAAGTCATACAAAACTTCTGGCCTAGGAGGAGGAGGGTTCAAGTCATACCTAGCTTCTGGCCTAGGAGGGGGAGGGTTCAAGTCATACACAGCTTCTGGCCTAGGAGGGGAGGGTTCAAGTCATACCTAGCTTCTGGCCTAGAATGGGGAGGATTCAATTATACCTAGCTTCTGACCTAGGAGGGNAAATTTCATCACTGTAGTACTTATAGTTTCCGAGTAAATCGGCTGTGACAGACGGACAGACGGACAGACGGACAGACGGACAGACGGACAGACGGACAGACGGACAGACGGACATGACGAAACTATAAGGGTTCCGTTTTTGCCATTTTGGCTACGGAACCCTAAAAACGTACAGCTCCGTATCTGTGAGGCGATTCTGTGCAAGTATTGTATTGTAAATAGATCGTCTCGAAATACATAGCTAAATATTTTAAAAGTTTGTCTTTCCTTGAGTGAGAATTAAGTGTCACATCCTGAGAAGGTATTCCCGTAACGGCAGGCACATCATATAAATTGGCATAGAGAGACATGGGTGTAGAAGGTTTAGACACCCAAAAGTAGATAAAATATCAAAACCTTTAAATGAATTGGATTTTATAGGTAGGTACTTTAATGTCCCTTATTTTTCTAAAGAGGATGATCTCTAGTTATGATTTCACGAGTATTGCCCTTAAGTTACCAATTTTTACCGCAAAAAAGTTAACATCTTATTGAACCATTTTTAACTTCGTGGTTGGTCCATGAGATTTATGTCAAATAATTAAACTTGTAATGGCTCTAGCAAGTTTTTAATTTTTGTCGGCAAAATCATATAAGAAGATCTTCACTGAATTTAGAAGTTCGAGAATTGTTTAGCGAGACTAATGACCTTAATAAGTGGTTATTTATTTTGTTCATAACTCTTTTGTGCTCTAATAAAACGTTTGACAAACATTATTTATTATTCTTTGCCATTAATTTTGCGCAGACACGCAAATATTTATGGATTGTGCGTGAGTCGCTTTGACTTTTCCTTTTCGCGGTTTTATGTCCACAGTCAAATTTATGTTTGCTAAAAGCTAGTTGGGAAAACGCATTCACCATTACCATCTGTCTTCAGTAAGGGAGTGCCACAGATCGCGTCAGAACCGAGAAATACTAGTAATGAATAAAAGCACATCGGACTCTACATTTTAGTTGCAAAACCACCCCTATCCCAACTACAAAAGATCCACAGTGTACAGCTTGATGTGCAGACCATACTTAAACTGCGCAAGCTTCGTTTATTGATGGACTTTATCAGGACTTAATGAATGAGCAGTTCATAGATGTAAAAGGGAAAACGAACTTGAAACTTGATGAGGCCTTTTAGTGAAGCTATCTCTGGAAAAGTTTACGACTATTATCGCGGACTAAATTAACATCTATTAAGCTTCTAATAGAGGAATAAGTTGTATTTGAAGATATACTTACAAGTAGATACTTGACAAACTTGACCTTCACATTTGGTTTTTATCAGCGGTCAAGCTGTAAATCCTGGCTACAAAGGAATTGCAGCGGTGGTAACGAGAGCTGGGAGTAATTCCCTAAGTAGGTAGGTAGACAATTTACGATAACTTTTTAACGCTTCTGTAACATGTTGTTTTGAACCACCGTGTAATAAATAGCACAGTTTGGGGTTCACAGCACAACCATAAATTCCAATTTACACCTTTCATAAATATTCAAAATCTATATCATTAGTTCCTTAAATGGCAAACAAAACATGGTCGCAATGTATCGTAATACAAATTTACTGTCTCCTCAACAGGTCACAACGAATCAAGTGGGTCATAAAACCAACTACAACAATCTCAATATCCTTATGCGGTTCGTTAATTATTCAAATCTGAGTTAGCCACGACAATAAAAGTTATTTATTATGCTTTTGGGAGGCTTTTGGTCTTCTAAAAGCTGTATCGAAATCTGCATCATTCGGGTCAACTATGAAATGTCTTGTCTCATCAAGTAACTAACTACATACTTTGAGAAGCATACAATTTTAAAATAAATAATGTCCTTTGCTCGGTTTGTGTTTAATTATACTTTATTTTGTCTGTTCCACATTTTATATTTTTCTTTCAGTTACTTTAAATTTATTTTCCCCAACTTCCTCGTTGATTTCTTCTTTTGTTCTACCAATATCCACTTTGATTGTCTGTATTTTAATTAGGCTAGTTTGACGCACGATAACAGCTTAATTAAACACAGGCTTTGTTTCATGACTGTCATTGATCCGCATATTGACAATGTTACTTATTAAATTCCAACCTTGGAAGCACAAAACATGTCCAAACAAGTTTGTTCGTATACCTATTCTCCACGCTTGAGCGAGCCTTCATGTGCTCCTGTACTATGTTCGAACATAACGATGCGTTAATATAGAGCCACAAACTTCTAACAATGCTGTATTGTTTTTATCAATGGAAGATTTGAAGGGCAGGAACGAAATGTCTATTTGTTATGTCTAGGATCTCATTAGGAATGAAGTTTATTATTATTATTGTTTCTTAGGCTTTTTTTTTTTACTCGAAGTCCATAAGTTCTTCGGTATAACGTTAACTCGTTATTATTATTATTATTATTTCTTTTTCTTGATTAACTATGTACCTACTATTTACCCCTAATAAACTGATTAAGATCATTAGTTTAATGTATGTTCTTCAATTTTCTTTCTGCGTTCTCATCTGCCTCGTTTTTATTAGGCAATGACGGCATTTTATGATATTTAAACCTTTTATTACTTCTGTACGTCATGTTTTCCTTAATCTTCAACGCATTCCCAAGTAGTACTTGTAAAGAACCTGCAATTATTGCATTAGTACCAGGTCAGGCTTTCTCAAGTATGCGCGTAATGTCTTTAGCGGATTCTAGGTCATGTATTTACTCCGTGACATCTTTTTCTGCACGAGTGAGTTCAATTACACACGGTACATGGGTTTCTTCGTATGTAAAGTATCACAGTAAACCATCGATTCTTTTTGAGATAATTTCCTGGAAAGATACGTAGATAAACGTTAAAGCCATTTTATAGAGTACGATCTTTATTAAAAAGTTCAGAATCTGAAAAATCACAAAATTCAACAACATCTAAGCTTTGATTTCTGCGAGAGACGGGTATTCTGCATAATTATTACGGTCTAGCATGTGTAATTGAATTAAAGAGTGCAAGTCCTATAATTGGATTTTCCCATAGTTTACACTTTTAAAGAATATGAATGGGAAAATTTCCTCACTATGAAAACATTGATATCAGGGTTTTCTTCATAATCAAACTTGCGGATCTGTCACCTCATTTATCGGAATTCTTTACGCATAGACTTTTAAGCTTACATGGTAGGTATAGTCATTGTACATAGAGAAGTCTTTTCAAGGTACCCAAAATTTTTAATAACCTGGGCTCAATTCTCACCATGAAATCTTTTCTTCCACAGACAGCCGAACGCAGCGCTGGCTGGGAAACGCACAGGGTACGCCTGAACAGGGTGCCAGGGTACGGTTTCGGGATCGCCGTGTCTGGTGGGAGGGACAACCCCCACTTCGCCAGCGGTGACCCGTCGATAGCCGTGTCTGATGTGCTCAGAGGAGGGCCAGCTGAAGACAAATTACAGTGAGTATTTCTGGAATTCTTGTAGTAGAGTAATCTCTTTATTGCATATGAAATGGTGTGTAAGTTGTAAAAATTTAAAATTTACTAATGTTCTGTGCTACGTTAATTCAATTTCTTTTGTGTAACGCCTATAATTAAGATAGCACTTAACCTATTATACAGGGTGTTTCTTGTAAGGTGTCAAGCCGAAGGCAGGTGATAGGTGAGGACTAGACCTATCGATTTCACCCCCATGTATGTTTTACGATTTTTCATAGTTTAGAAGTTATCGTCAATTTTGTGATTTTTTCAAATTGTATGACCTAGTAGGCTTTAAATTTTTTTATCTTTTTTTTGGGTCGACTTTTCTCAGATTTCTTTTTTTTGACAGATTCCCTATTAATTGCAGATTTTTGAAAAAAATAATCAACTTCCTATCTTTGATGCAAGATACAAAATTTTTGCTAGAAACATAAAAAATATGCTTTTAGCGGAACATTCTAAAATTTTCAACTTAAAAGTTAAAAAAAAAACAAAATTCCATAGGTCCAAAATAATTTTAAAAACTGCGCAGTTTTCTGAACTTTCATAATAATACAAAAAAACATGTACTTAATAGGCCATTATTTTCTGTAATCGCTCCACTTAAGTGGTAAGTCGGAGATTCCGTTACATGTTTTTGACTTTCTTAGGACTAAGTAATGTTTGCAATCCCTTAAGTTTACGTTATGTAGAACACATTTAGAGACAATAACTGAACAGAACATTGTTTTATCCACAACGAGGAAGCTCTTGCCCTTCATCTGGTATACAATAGGGAATATGAAAATATTGATGAACTGCGGACAAAGCTGACTGAAGCACAAAACCAAATTAAAATGAAGAAGAAGGTTTTACGAAGATTTTTTTTGCGTCGTTGTCGAATGTGCATTCAGCTTGAATTTGGCATACAGGTACCTTAGTTAACTTAAAGCTTAGTTACAACAGGATATTGCAAAATTCCCACGGGAACGGGAGTTAGCGGGAAAAAACATTTGTATGTAAAATCTAAACCGCTTAAGTTAGACGCTTGAAATTTGGCATGCAGGTACCTTAGTAAACTCAAAGCTTAGTTACAACAGGATATTGCAAAATTCCCATGGGAACGGGAGTTAGCGGGAAGAAACATTTGTATGAAAAAATCTAAACCGCGTAAGATAGATGAAGGGGGTAAAACGGGATCCACGCGTACGAAGTCGCGGGCGGCCGCTAGTATTGTCTAAAATGGTGTATGTCTTGTTGGTGTTAATAAATAAATAAATAAATAAATAAGTGGTGGACCTAATACCAATAGAATTCTAAACCTGTGATCCGTTGGACAAACAATTCACTAGCGTGTGATTTGCTAAAGAATGTAGAGTAGAAGACCGCGGTAGTAAATCATATTTCACTAGGTACTTATGTAATTAGTCCTTTCTTCATTGCGCAAGACACGATTTTTTCTCTCAAAATCATGAAGGATCCCACAAAGATAATATAGTAAACCTGTGCTAGATAGATGCTAGGTACTTTACATTGAGTTTTAGCGAGAGTATTTTTTTAAGATTACAGCCCGAATATCATCTACCTATTTAAAATGCCTGTAAAATTAACACAATCAGTGCCACCTTCGAGATAACTTACAGTTTAATTACCCAACTGTATTTAAAATGGCGATATTTCAACTCCTCCTATTCCAGAGTAAACGACAGGATAGTGTCCGTGAACGGTGTCCCCCTAGAGAATGTGGAGTACGCGCGGGCGGTGCAAGTGTTACGAGACTCCGGCGCAGCGGTCGCTCTCGTGGTCAAGAGACGAGCGCCCGCGCCGCCGCCCACCGCGCCGACCACCATCAAGCTGGCGTTGACGAGGAACGGGAAGAAGGAAGGTCAGTCCCAAACACGTCCACAGCTGGACAAAGGCCTCCCCCCAGGAATTCCACCACGATCTTTTCGAATTCTTTTCGATTTCGAGATCTGCGCATCCAGAGGCTTCCGGGACCTTCACTCCTATTAAGCTGCCCTTGACGTGGAACGGGAAGAAGGAAGGTCAGTCTCCCTTTTCGTTTAGTGTTTCTACCAAAGACGTGAGCTGGACAAAGGCTTCCCCCAAGATTTCCACAACGACCATCGCATTCTGGTGCTTCCTGGACCTTCTTGCTTTGACTTCAAAAGTTGACGAACTGCAGGGTTAAATCCAACTTCTTTTGGAGAGATCTAGAGAGATATGGATCTCCTCAATAAACATGTAAGCGCTTTGGGTTTTCTGTAAGCTTATTATGTTGCTCATTAAATAAATAAATAAAAATAAATAAATAAGTCATCCCAGACAGCTGCTTTAAATCTTACTTGACATTCTTTTACTTGATTGATTCCTCAAGCTGCCTGGCAGCAGTTTCAGAAAGTGATCTGATGTTCTCAATTAAAATTAAATACTTTCCTCTCTTTCCAGACTTCGGAATCGTCCTAGGCTGCAAGCTGTACGTGAAAGAGCTCACCATGCGAGCTCGGGAGCAGCTGAACCAAGCTGGCCAGGGTCTCTGCGAAGGCGACGTGGTGACGAAGATCAACAACAGCCCGGTCACCGACGCCATGACCCTGAAGGAAGCCAGGAAACTTATAGAGTCCTGCAAGGACAGATTAAATCTGGTTATTACGAGAGAATTGATCAGGGAAGAAACGGTGACGAATGGGAATTATCAGAACAACTACAATAGTTTAGGTACGTAAAGTTTGTTATAGTTTTTGAATTACTTGTGTGTATCAATAATGATTTACAGATTCTACTTCGCTATTTCTATGTATATCTCACAATAAATGCCACGCAAGTAACTTCTTTTTACTAAAGACAAATTCAATAAGTTTCTTCTTATTCTTCTTTGGTCCCTCTCTGATGAGGATCGCGACCACAGATAGTGTTCCTCCACAGACTGCGTTCATAAGCTGTGTGGACCGCACGATGAAAGCTTCCGCCCACCGTCTTCCTCACTGCGTCTGACCATCTCTTCGGTGCCCTGCCCCGAGCACGTCTGCCTATCTGTCAATAAGTTAAAGGGTCTTTAATTCTTGGAATATAATGTATTCCTTTACAGAAGCGACACCCCATAACCAGTACTCAGGCGGGGAACAGATCTCATCAGCGTACTCAAGCAGTGGTCAAAACTTGTACGTCGCCGCGCCCGTCAGAGGCAGCGAAGGCAGACGAGGGCCCATGTCGCACGAGGGCCACGACCAGCCGCCCAGACCGCCGCCTCCTAGGAACGAAGGTAATACTCTTAGAAGCAACCCCATGCTAGTATAGGGGCAGCAAATAGAAGATTAGACTACTCAAGCAGTGGTAAGAAAGCAACACCATGCAACATATAGGGGAAGCAAATCAGAGTTAGCGTACTCAAGCAGTGGTCCTTATACGTCGCCGCGCCCGTCAGAGGCAGCGAGGGCAGACGAGGGCCCATGTCGCATGAGGGCCACGACCAGCCGCCTAGACCGCCGCCTCCTAGGAACGAAGGTAATATTCTTAGAAGCAACCCCATGTTATTTATACAGGAGAATCAAACAGGAGAGCGTTCTTAAGCAGTGGTCAGAACCTATACGTCGCTGCTCCTGTCAGAGGCAGCGAGGGCAGACGAGGGCCCATGTCGCATGAGGGCCATGACCAGCCGCCCAGACCGCCGCCTCCTAGGAACGAAGGTAATATTCTTAGAAGCAACCCCATGCTATTTATACAGGAGAATCAAACAGGAGAGCGTTCTCAAGCAGTGGTCAGAACCTATACGTCGCTGCTCCTGTTAGAGGCAGCGAGGGCAGACGAGGGCCCATGTCGCATGAGGGCCACAACCAGCCGCCTAGACCGCCGCTTCCTAGGAACGAAGGTAATACTCTTAGAAGCAACACCATGCTATTTATACAGGAGAAGCAAACAGGAGATCAGCGTTCTCAAGCAGTGGTCAGAACCTATACGTCGCTGCTCCTGTTAGAGGCAGCGAGGGCAGACGAGGGCCCATGTCGCATGAGGGCCACGACCAGCCGCCTAGACCGCCGCCTCCTAGGAACGAAGTTAATATTCTTAAACGCAACCCCATGCCAGTATAGATGTAGCAAACAGGAGATCAGCGCACTTAAGCAGTGGTTAGAACCTATACGTCGCTGCTCCTGTTAGAGGCAGCGAGGGCAGACGAGGGCCCATGTCGCATGAGGGCCACGACCAGCCGCCTAGACCGCCGCCTCCTAGGAACGTAGGTAATACTCTTAGAAGCAACCCCATGCTAGTATAGGGGCAGCAAATAGAAGATTAGACTACTCAAGCAGTGGTAAGAAAGCAACACCATGCAACATATAGGGGAAGCAAATCAGAGTTAGCGTACTCAAGCAGTGGTCCTTATACGTCGCCGCGCCCGTCAGAGGCAGCGAGGGCAGACGAGGGCCCATGTCGCATGAGGGCCACGACCAGCCGCCTAGACCGCCGCCTCCTAGGAACGAAGGTAATATTCTTAGAAGCAACCCCATGCTATTTATACAGGAGAATCAAACAGGAGAGCGTTCTTAAGCAGTGGTCAGAACCTATACGTCGCTGCTCCTGTTAGAGGCAGCGAGGGCAGACGAGGGCCCATGTCGCATGAGGGCCACAACCAGCCGCCTAGACCGCCGCCTCCTAGGAACGAAGGTAATACTCTTAGAAGCAACCCCATGCTAGTATAGGGGCAGCAAATAGAAGATTAGACTACTCAAGCAGTGGTAAGAAAGCAACACCATGCAACATATAGGGGAAGCAAATCAGAGTTAGCGTACTCAAGCAGTGGTCCTTATACGTCGCCGCGCCCGTCAGAGGCAGCGAGGGCAGACGAGGGCCCATGTCGCATGAGGGCCACGACCAGCCGCCTAGACCGCCGCCTCCTAGGAACGAAGGTAATATTCTTAGAAGCAACCCCATGCTATTTATACAGGAGAATCAAACAGGAGAGCGTTCTTAATCAGTGGTCAGAAGTTATATGTCGCCGCGCCCGTCAGAGGCAGCGAGGGCAGACGAGGGCCACGACCAGCCGCCTATACCGCCGCCTCCTAGGAACGAAGGTAATATTCTTAGAAGCAACCCCATGTTGCATACAGGGGGAGTAAACAGAAGATCAGAGTACTCAAGCAGTGGTCAGAACCTATACGTCGCTGCTCCTGTTAGAGGCAGCGAGGGCAGACGAGGGCCCATGTCGCATGAGGGCCACGACCAGCCGCCTAGACCGCCGCCTCCTAGGAACGAAGGTAATACTCTTAGAAGCAACCCCATGCAACATATAGGGGAATCAAACAGGAGAGCGTTCTCAAGCAGTGGTCAGAACCTATACGTCGCTGCTCCTGTTAGAGGCAGTGAGGGCAGACGAGGGCCCATGTCGCATAAGGGCCAGTACCAGCCGCCCAGACCGCCGCCTCCTAGGAACGAAGGTAAATACTCTTAGAAGCAACCCCACGCTATTTATACAAGAGAATCAAACAGAAGATCAGCGTACTTACTTAAGCAGTGGTCAGAACCTATACGTCGCCGCGCCCGTCAGAGGCAGCGAGGGCAGACGGGCCCATGTCGCATGAGGGCCACGACCAGCCGCCTAGACCGCCGCCTCCTAGGAACGAAGGTAATACTCTTAGAAGCAACTTAATGCTATATTTCCCAGGGTGATCTCATGTATTCTAGCTTTCAAACGTGTACTAGCTTTCAGTTGTGGGCAATGAAAGCCTTCAAATTAAGGTAGCAATCTTTACAGGGCACAGAAGCTTCAGTCGTTTAGGCCGGACAGAAAGAGCGAGGGTCACAAACAGGTGTCATTTTTTAAATATTTAATTATGGCATATATTTAGTTCGCTTTATGATAATTTTCCATGATATGATCAAAATTAAATATGCCTCACTCATGTTTTCCCTGCATTTTACTTTACAAGATAATTTCTAAGAATGTCTGATGGGATTTTCTATTTCTCTTTAATTTTGGACACCAAACAATTACATTGAGAGCTTATGTACTAAATCTTAATAGCTTAAAAATTTATTGAAATGGTACCTACCTATCTTAGGAAATCCTTTATTCTTTAAATTGAACTGTAAATTAAACAGTTTACAGTCAACATTGTGTAATTCGTTTTCTCAAATAACGTTACACTTGATGACTTTCCTAAAATCCGGTAAGTAGGTATCATCACTTCGTCAAATTCTTGTGCTTTCACACTTGCCTGTTTACTCAATCGCACATTCTTGATACGCATTAGTCAGCTGTATTTACGATTAATAGTCTCTAGTTGCTGTGAAAATGTACTACCGTTACATAAATAGGTACATACGTTATTTTAATTAACTTTACTGCTTTGTTTGATTTAGATTATTGGTTACATACTTTTCTTAAAAATAAAATGTAAAACATCGTTAATTGGACAATATTAAGCTTAGATTCAGAACATATCAAAGTTGTAAGAGAAAACAAAAGATAATCTAAGTACGTGAAAGAATTTTTCGTGGAGAAGTAATTAAAAGATCTATTTTTCTTTTGTCTTAGCAGATTATTATAGCAGCAGAAGACAGCTATTCGAAGAAGATGCAATGGGAACACAAAGGAATAAACCACCGTACGTACAGCATTTACTATTGTGTTTTTTTTCTGTTACTTCTTATGATTGATCTGCTTTTGATGGCCTTACTGGTTAGACATTTTTTATGCAGAACAAAGCAGGTATTTTACTGCAATGATATCTGGTGTTTAGTGAGATGCAGTCTAGGATTCCTGCCCTGTAAGTGCCTATTCACTCTCACCTTGAAGAGGCCCGGATTATAGTGTTCAGGAAGGACAGCAGCAGGCAGAGAATTCCAGTCCCTAGCTGTTCGCAATCTTTATAGCTTTGTATTTTAAAAACAAATGTTATCAGCGGTATTTTGAATTACAACTTAAGTTCATATTTTTTTACAGAAGCGAGCCAAGGTTAATCAGCTTCCAAAAGGAGGGTTCAGTTGGCCTCAGACTTTGCGGAGGGAACAGGTCTGGCGTCTTTGTATCAGGGGTGCAACCCACCAGTCCAGCGGCGTTGCAAGGGTTACAGCCGGCTGATAAAATTCTCAAGGTAAAGTATTGTTTCTGGGAAATAATGTACAAAGAGTTTCACCGTTTGAGTTTTCTAGTTCACGAAGGCACTAGTTGACGTCATCTGGTGATGCCAAAATAATAATCCATAATTACATAATCTTCCTACCGCTTCGGCCCTAACCAGTTGTCCTTGCTATTTTACCCACTAGCGAGTGAGAGGATCTTACTTTACAGTGACGCCAACTCGGTTAGTCCAAATGTGATTCCTTCTAAAGTCTGGTCGCGGAGCACGTAGAATTTTGTCCAATGACCCCAAGCTACCTATCCTTATCGCTCGCGCGTAATTATATTGCTGTCGCGACTGTGCGACGGGCGGCAACATTGAATGTGCGGACTATACCACTGGTCAACAGCTTGCCTACGCAGTGCTTAACTTTGCATTTCTCATGTCAACTAAGTACCTCTAACACAGTTCCCTCTAACAGCGTATTACACTTGAAAATTTCGACGGGTTCAGCCAGTTTCTAAACAGTTCCCTTTATTTTGTTTAGTTTTATTTGCGCCTCTGATTTGAAAGGCCCAATATATTCCCTAGGCCAGGGAAGACACTAACCTACTTAAGTTCTTTTGTCTCCCAGATGTCTCCCCTGTCAGTCTTTTAACCGTTAAATTATTCTCAGGTAAACGACATGGAAATGAAAGGCGTGACGCGGGAAGAGGCAGTGCTATTCCTGCTGAGCTTGCAAGAGCGGATCGACTTGATCGTGCAGCAGTCGCCTGAAGAGTACAACGCGGTAGCCAGCGGGCAAATGCGTGAGTAGACCTTATCAGTTTTATAGGTCCGTGAGCACGTAGAATCCCGTCCAGTGACCCCAAGCTGCCCATCCTTGTCGCTCGCACGTAATTATGTTGCTGTCGCGCTCGCACACTCACTGCGGGCGCGCGTCGCACAGTCGCGACAGCAATATAATTACGCGCGAGCGATAAGGATGGGTAGCTTGGGGTCATTGGACGGGATTCTACGTGCTCACGGACCAGGCTTTAGGCGCAGACCACCGACTTTTAGTTGGCCGATAGTTGGGTCGGGCTGTTGATCAGTATGGAGATGTATGAAAGTGCAACCGCCTCTGTAGTCTAGTGGTAAGACCCACCTGCTTCAGACGCAGAGGTCCCGAGTTCGATTCCCAGTGGGGGCAGATTTTTCTGTTCGGTTTGGTTGGTGGTAGGGCTTGTTCTAAGTCCGCCTGGCTAGCTACCACCATCTTACCTAAGTCTGTCGCCATAACAACAATGTTAACAGCATTATTGTGTTCCGGCAGTTAGAGGTAAGATAGCCAGTTCCTCCGTGGTTGAGGATTCCGGGTGAAGCTCGCTTCCACCTTGGGCCTGATCATCACTTACCATCAGGTGAGATACAGGCCAAGACCTTCCTCGTTGTGGATAAAAAAAACATACACCGATTTGGTATCGGCCGATTCTTCATACATCTCGCCCAACTATCGGCCAACTAAAAGTCCGTGGTCTGCGCCTAGGCTAAGTAAGTATAACGTGCAAAATAATAGTATGTCAGTAGCATATATCTTTAGACCTCCTTTATATCCGGGTAAATAAGACCTAATTTATTCACTTCGTTGAACATGTGATTGATTGGTATAATAATAGTGAATGGAAACTGTTCGAATGTGGTCCAAACCGTCATTGTTAATTACTATAAAAATACTTGTTTATCCGTGTGTTGTTCTATTAATATTAATTACATTAATATAATCTTCTATTAATTACATTGTACTAATTTAATTTTTATTACTAAAGCCTGGTCCGTGAGCACGTAGAATTTTGTCCAATGACCCCAAGCTGCCCATCCTAATCGCTCGCGCGTAATTATGGTGCTGTCGCGCTCGCACACTCACTGCGGGCGCCCGTCGCACAGTCGCGACAGCAATATAATTACGCGCGAGCGATAAGGATGGGTAGCTTGGGGTCATTGGACAAAATTCTACGTGCTCACGGACCGGGCTTTATTAGGTTTTGCGAATCAGTACATTTTTAAATTTAGCCAGCATTGTCGGGGTACACTAACGCCCGTATACACAAACATTACTATGTGGTCTCACAGTGCGCGTGGACGCACAGGGTCACACACGAACCAATCAGATAGCGCATCAACGCTGTGCGTTCGATTTTCTGCTTCACATAAGCAAGTATCGTTTGTGAATACGGGTGTTAAATCGTTGTCATTTTAAACACACTTTGTTTATAAACTTTAAATTTTTATTTCCCTTTATCAATACAGACGACAGCAGATCAGAACTTTTTCTTGCAGCTTTTTTTAAAGCTTATTTCAATCAGTATTAGGAGTATTCCTTACTGCTATTGTCATCAAATAACCAGTCCCGGATTTATAAATATAGGCCGTATAGGCCACGGCCTAGGGGCGGCAGCGTCCTAGGGGCGGCAGATTTCAGAAGACTCTCGATTCGAGTCACTCGATTTCAGCGGAAGTAATGAAAATTGGTATTTCTATAGATTTCGATGTGCTCTTTACGAATTTCAACTTTGCGACCTCGTATGGGTGCCGCAGTAGCAGTTTTTCTTAAATGTTTCCTTTCGGATTAATTTTATGACAAAACATGCTTAGAGAAACTAAAACTAGAGAAAATGACATATTTTTGATGTCTGCATAACCTTTTTGTGAAATCAATAGTTTAAGCGTAGGAGTGCCACAAAGTATACTTCAAATAACAATTGCAAATAACTGAACCTTTTATGCTTGTGTTCCAGCCGGCGATTCGTTCCACATAAAGACGCACTTCCACTACACGGAGCCGACAGACGGCGAGATGTCGTTCCGATGCGGCGACGTGTTTCACGTTGTGGACACGCTGCATAACGGAACAGTTGGCGCTTGGCAGGTCTACAGGATAGGTAAGTTCTTTATCATCATCATAAACACTACCACTAACATCATCATTATATGTATTCGTCACTACCATAATCATTTTCAATATCATCACTGTCACCATAATCATCATCATCACTACATTTACTAACAACATAATGGTTTATTATCTTCATCTACATAATCACCGCCATTATTATCATCACCATCATTAAGGCCAAAGTTTTGTCTTGTAAGTAGCTATGATAATTTGTTTCACTAAGGACGTCCTCTGCTGGACGATGGCCTATCCAAAGATTTCCACAATGCCCGGGCTACCCGCCGCGTCCAGACGCTTTCCACGACCTTAATATATTTAATTTAACTGTTCCAATACTGAATTAAAATGACGGTGTAACCTTTCCATTCAGGTCGTAACAACCAAGAGGTGCAAAAAGGCACGATCCCCAACAAAGCACGCGCCGAAGAACTGGCCACGGCTCAATTCAACGCGACCAAGAAAGAGATGTCAGGCAACGATGGAAAACACAACTTCTTCCGGCGCCGACGGTCTACGCATCGACGAAGCAAGAGCTTGGGCAAGGTAAGAAGTAGTTGACACCATTAGCCAATAGTTCTCAATTCAATGAGACCAGGAAATGTCAGGCAACGATGGGAAACATAACTTCTTCCGACGCCGGCGGTCTACGCATCGACGGAGCAAGAGTTTGGGCAAGGTGAGTTATAGAAGATCTTTTAAATGCTTTTTTGGTAGATCGTTATCATTTGACAGTTCATAACGTACGATTATTCTGTCAAACGCTTATTATTATTATTCTGCCTAATGGCTTGTCAAACGCTTTGTTTATCTGACTTTATCGTACGTTATGAACTGTCAAATGATTACGATTGCTTTACACAATTCCACCTCAGAATATTTTTAGCCAAAAGTAAAAAAAATGATCTACTTTTACTATACCATGATTGTAATTTTTATAGTCGATGTCGGCAAATGTAATAAGTTTCTTAGGAAATTTTTTAACTATAACATTCTCGTAGCAGGTAGGTTGTTATGTTAAAGTTGCAGCGCCGTGACAAACACGACGTGAGTTTTGCTTCTATTGTATGAAAACTAGACGTGGTGGTACTTACATTTAAAAATTAAAAGTACCTAATCATTATTATACTATGCTTATGAACTTTCATACTCCAACGCACACTTATCCACACCGTGCCTCGCCTCGCAGTTGACAGCGCGCGAAAGGTGATTATTCGCAGCTCGCGAAAGGCTGTGTAGGGTGTTGTTGATCCCTTTTCGAGTTGAACTATGACTTATAATCTGCAAACATTTTGTTAATTCTCTTGTCACAATATCAACTAATTGTCTTTCCATTCCAGGAACACTGGGACGAAGTGGTATTATCAGACAGCATCAGCAAGTTCCCAGCGTACGAACGCGTGGTTCTGAAGCAGCCGGGCTTCGTGCGGCCTGCCATAGTGCTGGGCGCGGTGGCGGACATCGCGCGGGAGCGGCTCCTCAACGAGAGCCCGGACCAGTTCGCATCGCCTAGTGAGTGTAGCCACAGAATAATAATAAGTACTACCAGGCCTGTTCATCTCCGCGAGTTTACATCGAAAACAAAACACGCACGATGGCCCACCTACAGGATACTATTCGACAAGGCCTCACATATACGAGCGAACATTGACTTACGCACGCGTCTTCTTGTATATGATGGAAGAAAATAAAGAAAATGGTGTACTAAATACTGTGCAGTATTTAACTGCCTAAATAATAAAAAAACACAGAATGTATTTTTTAAAGTTGCCTCAAGACACTAAGAGGTAAATAAGTAGTTAATATTATTCATGATAATTCGTGCTAAATCATGTATTTCCTCCGCCATTTTCCGCAGTTTGGCACCTCACGTCACATTATTTTACCGAAGTCAGCCCTATAGCTTCGGCGCAGTGCCGATCACTGACGTTTGTCAACAAAATGATGCTTGACTCTTGAGACAGGCTAAATTACACCATATTGTTAATGACATTGAGCATATATTTTTTTAAATACCTTCGCGAAGTAAAACTTCTGTACGTAGTACTTATTATTATTCTGTGGTACTACGTACAGAAGTTTTACTTCGCGAAGGTATTTAAAAAAAATTAAGCTCAATGTCATTAACAATATGGTGTAATTTAGCTTGTCTCAATAGTCGTGCACCATTTTGTTGACAAACGTCAGTGTTCGGTACTGCGCCGAAGCCATAGGGCTGACTTCGGTAAATTGATGTGTGACGTGAGGTGCCAAACTACGGAAAATGGCGGAGTAAATACATGATTAAGTATTAATTATATTTTGTGTTTCTATTATTATTCGGGCAGTTAAAAAATACTGCACAGTATTAATTACACCACCGATTTTACATATTTATTGTCTTTACAATGCAAATGGGTGAAGAATACACGTGCGTGCGTCAATACTCGCTCGTGATTGTCCTGTCGATTAGGTACCTCAGGAGGGGTCGTCGCGCGTGTTTTGTTTTCGATGCAAACTCGCGGAGATGAACAGGCCTGTTGTAGCGTGTGTCAGACGTCCTGCTGCGTCAGCTGTGTTAGGTCCCATCACAGCATCAGGTGCCGAAGCAGCCGGGCTTCGTGCGGCCTGCCATAGTGCTGGGCGCGGTGGCGGACATCGCGCGGGAGCGGCTCCTCAACGAGAGCCCGGACCAGTTCGCCTCGCCTAGTGAGTGTAGCCACAGAATAATAACAAGTACTACGTACAGAAGTTTTACTTCGCGAAGGTATTTAAAAAAAATTATGCTCAATGTCATTAACATTATGGTGTAATTTAGCCTGTCTCAAGAGTCAAGCACCATTTTGTTGACAAACGTCAGTGTTCGGTACTGCGCCGAAGCCATAGGGCTGACTTCGGTAAAATGATGTGTGACGTGAGGTGCCAAACTACGGAAAATGGCGGAGTAAATACATGATTAAGTATTAATTATATTTTGTGTTTCTATTATTATTCGGGCAGTTAAAAAATACTGCACAGTGTTAATTACACCACCGATTTTACATATAGTTTATTGTCTTTACAATGCAAATGGGTGAAGAATACACGTGCGTGCGTCAATACTCGCTCGTGATTGTCCTGTCGATTAGGTACCTCAGGAGGGGTCGTCGCGCGTGTTTTGTTTTCGATGCAAACTCGCGGAGATGAACAGGCCTGGTGTAGCGCGGTGTCAGACGTCCTGCTGCGTCAGCTGTGTCAGGTCCTATCACAGCATCTCGTGCTGAAGCAGCCGGGCTTCGTGCGGCCTGCCATAGTGCTGGGCGCGGTGGCGGACATCGCGCGGGAACGGCTCCTCAACGAGAGCCCGGACCAGTTCGCCTCGCCTAGTGAGTGTAGTCCAAAAGACCAGTGCCTGAAGACGAAAGTCTACAATTAATGTGTGCTACCAGCGATAACTTATGGCTCGGAAACGTGGCCTCTCACTATAGGCCTTATACAGAAGCTCAAAGTTGCACAGCGTGCTATGGAGAGGGCTATGCTTGGTGTTTCTTTGCGAGATCGAATCAGAAATGAGGAAATCCGTTAATGAACTAAAGTCGCTGACACAGCCCGACGGATTAGCAAGCTGAAGTGGCAATGGGCAGGGCACATAGTACGCAGAACTGACGGCCGATGGGGCAGCAAGGTTCTGGGATGGAGGCCGCGTACCGGAAAACGCAACGTGGGACGTCCACCTACAAGGTGGACCGACGACATCGTAAAGGTAGCAGGGAAGCGCTGGACGCAGGCCGCTACCAATCGATCAACGTAGAAAGCATTAGGGGAGGCCTATGTTCAGCAGTGGACGTCCTATGGCTGAAATGATGATGATGAGTGAGTGTAGCGTGTGTCAGACGTCCTGCTGCTAACCTAAGTGTCAGACATTGTCCTAAGCGCCCGAGCGGCTTCTTAAAGAGAGCCACGAGCAGTTCGCATCGCCAATTAAATTTAGGGTGGTGTCAAACATCATTGTGGTCTCAGTATGTAATGCACACATCTATCTAACGCGAGTATTAACATGCTCGCGCGGGACATTAAGTAACATTAATAAGAGCTCAGAATAGTTAGTCTCGTATAGTAAGTTTAGTGTGGTGTCAGACATCATTATGGGCGCAGTGGCTGTAACGAGAGTCCTGAGTAGCTCGCCTCGCCTAGTACGTGACGAATATTGTCGGACATCATTGTGGGAGTGGCGGTTGACATCGCACTCGTGTGGCTACTTAATAAAAGCTCTATGTACCTACTTTACTTCCTATAGTAAGGCTAGAGATGTATCAGACATCGTCTTGAACTTGGTGGTTGATATCACTTGCGAGCGGTTTTTCAAAGAGACCCCAGTCAACTTCTGCGTGCTCAGCGACCAGACTATAGCAAAGAGTCATAATTATAAACTCAACCTTAGCAGTCTTTGAATCTTTATTTCCAGGTCATGATATTAGAAAATTTAGTTATATACGAAAAACAGCAATAAAATTAACCATTATTAAATCTAACCAAATAATTTCTCTCCCCAGAAATGGACAGCACCCTAGAAGACAGCAAAACCAAATCCGGCGGCATTATTCGTCTGTCCAGCATAAGGAGTATCATGGAGCGAGGGAAGCACGCTCTTCTGGACATCACGCCTAACGCGGTGGACCGACTCAACTACGCCCAGTTCTACCCTATAGTGATATTCCTGAAGGCTGACAACAAGCATATTATTAAGCAGTTGAGAGCTGGTTTGCCCAAGTAAGTCATTTTGGATCTTGTTATGCATAAAGGTAGCTTATCTATCTAACTCATCAACCTGGAAAGGGATCAAAACTCAACACCGTATCGAAGGCGAAGCGAGGCGTGGCGTTTACGTTACGGTGCGGCTAAGTGTGCGTTGCAGTACGGATAATACTGACCGCCTCGAGTTGATACGGTTACGATCCGTTTCCGGGTTAATAATGTGCTTCGTCCTTCAAAGATTCATTTTATTTTATTTTTATTAATTCAATAGGACAACAAACAAGATATTAAAACTAACTTTACAACCTTTTTGAACTTAATCTAAGTGCCTTAATTATACGCGTACCGAGTACGTTGCCACGGCATACAATAATCTCAATAGTAGTGGATAGATTCAAGTAGTGGATAGATTCAATCAACTTTTGCACTTAATTTTGAACTTAAAAGGAAGAACGTGTTTTAACTTTTATTCACGAAGATCTTGGCAATTATTTGTTTTGTCAAAATCAGTTCAGAATGTTACACAAAATTTAAAAGGCACTAAAACGTAAAAAAAAAGACTTAAGTATTACGATTACTTATTTTGTTATACCTGTACATTGCTAACCAGCCATATATCCTCAGATCCGCCCACAAATCGTCCAAGAAGCTTCTCGAACAGTGCCAACACATGGAACGCGTGTGGGGTCACGTGTTCACCCATACCATAACCCTCAGCGAAGCCAACCAGAACACCTGGTTCAATAAGCTGGAAGAGCTCATTCAGATCACGCAGCAGCAGCAGCTTTGGGTGTCTGAGACCAAGGTCAGTGCGAGGAGGTCTCCCACCTTAATACCTTAATAATGTGTGGGTGATACGGTGGTGGGATTTAAAGGGGCAGAACAAAGAAATTAAGATCTTTTTTGTCTTTTATTTAAAAAAAAGAAGACGATTTGTAAGCACTATTCAATAGTCTTAACACACAGAAATAAATAACTTTTTGACTTTGAATGGGAAAAGTAAAAGTGCGTGCATATGCCCCAATTATTATTATTATTGCCTTGTATGGTGAGCCTACTAATGAAAGCTTAGTTAATCTTGATCTTGGATGATGTCTTATTATAACACCTACGTTATATTGTAACGCAATAAATTGATTGAATTGAAAGGGACCCAAGAAAACCTTTAAATGGTTTTTAAATAAGTAATTTTAATTGAAATAAATATTATGTATTTGGAACGACCATTTTTATTATTAGGGCTATTGTAACAAGACTTTGATTCTTCTTTCTTTGTTCTGCTTCTTTAGAAATTTATCTAAATGTTAAAAGGTTACCTACATTATTGTATAACGATATTCATGTTTAACGTCTATTACAACAGTAAAGCGCATCATGCTTCGAGATGGTTGCTTGGTAAAGGCAAATTGGTGCATTGGTAAAATCTATGTATTTCATGAATTAATTTTCAATTTTCCCTTTATAATCTACACAAAAAGTATAGGCATGGTTCCCAATATCAATAAGTAAGTGGACCATGCCCGTACTTTTCCAGCATAAATGTATTAACCAATTCGTTTCTGTTCTGTCTTACGTTTATAGCACGTTGAAATGGTGTCGGACATATATTTCCCCATCCCGCCATCTCCTTACCCCGCCTTTTACCCAATCTCCTACCCCCTGAACTTCTATCCCCAGTCTCCCCAACGCCCTACCATTCGCTCACCGCAAAACATATCTGCATCTAACCTCAAAAGCACGAAGCGGCACGACCAAGTGTATGACGCTAATCGAAACCACGTAGTGCCTTATTACTACTCAGAAACATTACAGCATTGCATGCCTAACAATGTATTTGGCGTACCCAATCCTTACATGAACAAAAACAGACATACAATGGCGAATTACCCCTACGACGACCGGCAGAATTACTACCAAAGGTCCAAATTAGGTGCCAAAATGCAAGGCATGAACAGCCCTGAGATATCCCAAATATTTGCCAAATGTAACGTCCACCAACCTCAAACGTTCAGACCATATAGTGTTCTTGAAACGTCCTCCAAATCTCCAGTTCCCAACGTCCAAAGACCGTCTTCTGTAGTGCCAACTTCTGAGCAGTTCCGTCCTGCCTCTGCCTTCTTCCCGACTGGGAATGATCTTGGAAAAACAAATGAGGTTCCAGAATGGAAAGCGCGCCTTCAAAAAGAGAATCCGAAACCTATATTTAAAGCTGACAAACCTTTGCGACAAATCTGTCGAATTCCGAATTGTAAGTGCAACGAAAAACCCGTTGTAGATCCTGAACGCTTTAGCGAGATCCGAACTTTGCCTTCTGTATCAGAAAGGTCCTTGAACAAAATGAAAAACTTGTCTTTGCCAACATTGAAGTTGGACGAGTTAGAAAAGGATGCACAGAATTCCACGCAGGCAGAAAGAGATATCGCCCCTGTTATAAACAAACCGATATCTGAACAGCACTTGGGGTATGTCTAGATGAGTTTAAAGTAGTCACGATCACAGTTACCACTAGGATAATTAATCTGCATCTTATTTAACTTTTATCTGTATATTTGCTGCATGTTATTCGCTTTTTATTTCCGCTTTTATTGCATTTGCTAATATTTAAGCTTATGGTATGTATGTTGGTTTATTGTTGATTTTTATTTGAGATCTGTAATGTTCCTGTTTTTGTTTTGTAAATATGATAATAGTTTACTAGTGTTAAATACCACTTTATTTTATTAGAAATCGACATTCAAATTAACCGTAAACCTATTTGATTTATTAACGCCAAATTAACTGTTAATATAAATTAAAAATAAAGTTTCGTAAAATAGTTTGCATGTCGATTTCATAGTGTGTAAATACCCCATAATCATCACAGACGCTAAACCCCGTTTTTAGTTTCTGACGTGTTATTGCAATCATTCATTTGTCTTGTATTGTCACCCCATTCCATACCCACCCTACCGGACGCTGCGAATCAAAATGGCCGACGCTCACAAAATGGCGACGCTCTCAAAATGGCTGACGACAAAATGGACGAGAACAGAGGCCCGAGCCGTTGTCGGACGACTTTTTGTTCTCGATGTCGTCGAGTACCGAGAACTGTAGACTGTCGTACGCGTCGAGTCCCGAAAGTGACTTGGAAGTGAGTCCGCCGCCGGCGCCGAGGCTCGTCAAGTCGTCTTCAGACCCGTCGATCGCGACCACCCAGGACAACATGGACCGAGATGACGACATGAACCACATGGCCGACGCTGTGCCTCCACCCTACACGGTTGGTATATTTAGATGTGCGTTTATCTTGCATGCAATAGAATAGGGACATTTGACATGATTTTTGTCTTGTCCATGTTCATTTTGAGATCCACTTGTTGAAAGGCTCTACGGAGGCCATGACTCCGATATCATCCCCGATATCGCGACTCCTTGGTCTTCTGTATTATCTGCCGTAGCGTACCTGTGTGTGTACCATAATACTAAAGCCTTTTCGGAAACAAGCTTGTTCGGAAGACTGGAAGTCGTCGAGTCTGCGAACGAGATGATTCGTAAGGACTCTCGAAAACAGCTTGTAAACACGCCTCATAAGTGAGATGAGTCTATAATGCTATCACCACACTTCTGTGCCATGCCGAAGGCATTTTTTCTTCGAGAATGACGGAATTGAACTGCTTCTGTAGAGCCTTTAGTACCGGCGAAGCTCAGCTATAATGCCGTAACACCTGGTGCCTTGTTGTATTTCAACTATTTGAGTGCCATTTAAATCGTGTACAAACTGACGTCCGATATAATATCTTCGGTATAGTATCAGGTCAATCTAGCTCTTGGGTTTTGCAATATTTGTTTTATGTTTAAGGTTAAGAATAAATAAACAAAGAGACCCTGTGTTATGTATTTATTTGTTTTATTTAAATAAAATTAAAATAATATATAAAAATTAAGAATTTATTACAGTTTCTTATTAAAAAATTAAACATATTGATTAGGATTTTTGTTTTATTCCATTGGTATTTCAGACATATAAACCTTAAATGAACCATCTAACAAATAGACCAGCAATCAGATATCAAAACGTTTTAAGTATTTATTATATTAATGATTGAAATACATTAGGTATTTCTTCATAATGTCATCAATTCTAAGTTTGCGGAGCGATTTTTATATTTGGAGATTCATTTCTCAATTCCGTGATTCATTTTCTCAATTCGGTGCTCTCTCAATTCGATGCTAAACATTTCTCATAAACCACTTCACAATATTTAGTGACAATGCTATTTTTACATTCAGAATGGAGTAACATTTATTTTTTTTGTATTGAAACTACTTAAAAAACTAAATATAAATTTTAGCACCGAATTGAGAAAAAATACACCGTACAGTAGAAATGCCCTTATACAATTAAATTAAGGGAAATTAATAAGAAATTACCATCAATAACATCAACATTTAACATGAGCGAAGGATAACCTAACCTATCATGCAACAGACAGGTCTGTGTTTTTCGTTAGCTTTAAATACACTGTTTCCTCATTTAACTACATATCATAACGTTCATTAATGGATGCTGTTAAAAAATAAATAATGAATTTCATTATTTCACTTTTCTTGCATTGTTCTACTAGAATCAGCAGTTTTAACAGTACAGTAGTGCGGGGCCGCTGTAAATATACATACTTGAATTTCACAACAGATTTCGCAAGATAAAGTTAAACCAAACTAACGTCATCGCACGTGTGAATATTTAGACCATGTGTGCAGTCGTACGTCATAGCATCATAGCAAGTGTCAAACAAATAGGGCTTCGCAGCCACGAATTGTACAGAGCAGGCGCCCCCGTACCACGATAGCGCGGGGCTGCCGCCATACATATTTATTTATACGTAACTCAATTTCGCACGTTTTGATCCACTCGTACGCCATAACATCCACTTGTATTACATCATAGCACGTGTGAAATAACCCTTACCTCACAGCAGGGTGGCTACGGGGACAGCAAGTACGGTTTCGCAGCCACCAACGGTACGGATCAAGCGCCCCCATACCACGGTAGTGCGCCGCCGCTATACCTATTTAATCTTATCCAATATAGCATGTTGTGGCCCACTCGTACGTCATATCATCACAGCACGTGTGAATTAACCCCGTATTTACAGCAGGGTGGCTACGGCGACAGCAAGTACGGTTTCGCGGCGACCAACGGTTCGGAGCAGGCGCCCCCGTACCACGATAGCGCGGGACCGCCGCTATTCCTATTTATTCTTACTCAATTTCGCACGTTTTGGTCCAGTCATACATCATAATTATCATCACAGCACGTGTGAATTAAACCCCGTACTTACAGCATGGTGGCTACGGCGACAGCAAGTACGGTTTCGCGGCCACCAACGGTTCGGATCAAGCGCCCCCGTACCACGGCAACGCGCCGCCGCTATACCTATTTAATCTTATCCAATATAGCATGTTGTGGCCCACTCGTACGTCATAGCATTCACTCGTCATATCATCATAGCACGTGTGAATTAACCCCGTACTTACAGTAGGGTGGCTACGGCGACAGCAAGTACGGTTTCGCGGCCACCAACGGTTCGGAGCAGGCGCCTCCGTACCACGATAGCGCGGGACCGCCGCTATTCCTATTTATAACTTAACTCAATTTCGCACGTTTTGACCCACTCGTACGTCATAGCATTCACTCGTATTTGGTATTACGTCATAGCATCATAGCACGTGTGAAATACCCCTTACCTCACAGCAGGGTGGCTACGGCGACAGCAAGTACGGTTTCGCAGCCACCATCGGTTCCGATCAAGCGCCCCCATACCACGGCAACGCGCCGCCATTATACCTATATTTGACCCACTCTAAGTCATAGCATCCATTCGTCATAGCATCATAGCACGTGTGAATTAACCCCCGTACTTACAGCAGGGTGGCTACGGCGACAGCAAGTACGGTTTCGCAACGGTTCGAAACAGGCGCCCCCGTACCACGGCAACGCGTTGCCGTACACATATATTTGCTTAATCCAATTTCGCACGTTTTGACCCACCCGTACGCCATAACATCCACTTGTATTACATCATAGCACGTGTGAATTAACCCCGTACTTACATCAGGGTGGCTACGGCGACAGCAAGTACGGTTTCGCGGTCACCAACGGTTCGGAACAAGCGCCCCCGTACCACGGCAACGCGCCGCCGCTATACCTATTTAATCTTACCTACTCAATTTCGCACGATTTGACTCACTCGTACGTCATATTATTATCATCATAGCACATAGTGTGAAATAACCTTTACCTCACAGCAGGGTGGCTACGGCGACAGCAAGTACGGTTTCGCGGCGACCAACGGTTCGGATCAAGCGCCTCCGTACCATGGTAACGCGCCGCCTCTATACGGGCCGGTGCCGGAGCTCCCGCCGCGAGGCCCGGCCGGACGCCCCGCCGGCGGGGTTTTGCTACCGGCGCCCCCGCCGGCGAGACCGCCGCATTCTTTGAGACATAATCCGCAGGTGAGTGATGCACTTGGAGTGTGGAGGTGAAGAAATCACACAATACCTACTTAGCTGTTTAAAAGTCATAAAACGCTTTTACTACTCCCAGTACCCTGCTTCGGGACAATTACTGGCCCATTGCTGAGAAGAAGCAGCCAACAAACTCAGTCTTCATTGATTATGTTGAAAAATATTACATTTCTCTTATTCCCCCTTTTATTGCAACTCTGCTAACAATCGTGACTCGTAGGATGAAGTCAAACCTTAATGAGCAGGTTGAAACATCTAACGTACATAAATATATTTACTGGTCGTCGTCGTTTCAGCCAAATGACGTCCACTGCTGGACAAAGGCCTCTCCCAAGGTTTTCCATAATGAACGGTCCTGCGCTGCCAGGACAGTTCAGGCCAAGCTCTTCCCGCGACCTTCACCAGATCGTCGGTCCACCTAGTAGGAGGCCTGCCCACGCTACGTCTTCCAGCCCGTGGTCGCCACTCGAGAACTTCTTTTCTGCCCCAACGGCCATCGTCTCTACGAGCTATGTACCCCGCCCTCTACAACTTGATTTTAGCAATTCTGCGAGCTATGTCGGTTTGGTTTCACTTTGGTTCCCCTGCGGATCTCCTCATTTCTGATTCGATCACACAGGGAAACTCCGAGCATAGTCTGCTCCATTGCTCTTTGGGTGACCTTGAGCCTTAAAGTATTTGTTCCATAAAGGCCTAAATGATTTGAAACAAGTATAGAAGTAATTATTTCGTAAAAGGAATTTACGTATTTTAAATGCTAATTCTTGCGATTCCTTCCAGAACCCCCGCCCCAGTGCCCAAGAGCGCCTCTTCGGGCCTCCCAAGGAGGGCGGTAGCGACGAGACCGCCACCTACACCGCCCGCCCTACCAGTATGATCATCCAGCCCACGCAAGGACAGGGATCCTTGGACCGGCATCGACACCCTACGAATCCGGTAAGCTAATCAAAAATATTACGAAAGAAATATTTTTTTTCATCTCATTCAAGTCTTTCTTTATTCTCGTCAATATTACATTATATTACCCCCTCTCATAGTTATGCTATCACGAAGTTAATGCGACAATAGCAGTTTCACGATCGCCTCAAGGAGTGAAAGTACGAGTATGTATTTGAGTTCCAGCTATCCATTTCCCGTCATGTCATCTCGTTCTATCGCAATGAATCGCCATTTGATGAGAGTGAGAGAAAAACAGAAATGGTTAGCTGTAACTGTGGCCTACTGTTACAAGCCTAATAAAAAACTCACCGAAGCGATTTCGAATTCAAACTGTCACAAACGTTGTTTTGTCGAGTGAGAAGGTCCGATAAAAAATCAATTTGATGTTTAACTAAAACTCAAAAACAACTTTAGGCAAATTTTTTTTTCGACTTTCCGATGTCTCTTCTTTTTGTTCATGGTTTTGTAAACTGAAACATTTCAGATACGTTTTTTTGGTTCTTTACTAAATCATTAAAATAAACCTTTCTCACCACACAGCAAAGTTCATACGACGGCACCCCGTCGTACGACTACAGCAGTTCGAACAACGGCTCGGCGATGGGCTCCTGCCGGCTGCCGCCTAACGCGCCCGACGACCTCAAAGTTGCTCCGCCTTCAGTGTAAGTTATCCTGATTTATATTCATTACTTACTAGCTGGCCCAGGCGAACTTCGTACCGCCCTGTAGGCCTAGGATGCGCGCCGCGATAAGCTGTTATCACGCCATTTTATCGATTTTGACGTCGATAAAGTATATCAGCGCGCGCATCCTAGCCCAGCTGGTTGTCATTAGGACGGTAATACGTCGCGGACTGTCCGTTCTTTTTTGGGTAGTCGAGTTAAAAGGGTTCAAGGTGTCGGCTACCTCCATACCAAATTTCATCAAAATCGGTTCAGCCGTTCTTGAGCTATAAATGTTTCAATAAAGCCGGGCGGCTTTGTCGTCGGTTCGATCTCCACCTTAGGCAGTTAGATTTTTTCAAGTTATTTAAATTAAAAATTGTGTAATTTGTCGTCAGTTTATTCTATTAGCATTCCAAGGAATACGCCTTTCGTACGTTATTTGTTAGAATATCTTTCAAGTATTCCAAGCTCACACTTAGCGCATAATATTTGGTTCTTATTTTTAACCGACTCCAAAAGAAGGTTCTCAATTTGGTTGATAAGTTTTTTATGGGTGTCGGAACATCATCAAGATTGAAACTAGGTAAGCATGCGCCTTTTTGACACACATAATTTCGTTTAGATTAATTAGCTATCGTGTGCACTTGTTAATAAAGTTGTTTTTTGTTTAGCAGTAAAATGGAACCGCCTCCTCCGCCGAACCCGTCCGCTATGTCGGCGCAGAGTCCGCAGCGAAATTCGAATTCCCACGAACACAACTCGCTCGATTACAGAAATAATGAAAACAACTACAGGTATGGAACATTTGTATTTGAAGTTATATTGATATGCACAAAAAAGTTCGCTTCAATCAAGAAGACCATTGCACAACGACAAAGTGGACAAACTACAAAGTTTGAGTAGCTAAAAAATTTACTTGGTGTTCACTGTTTGGGTTTTTATTGGTGGTCAAGCTGTAGATCCTGGCTACACAGGGGGGGAGGAATAATCCCGTTGTAGCTGGAGTATCTTTGAAAACGTTTGTTCAATTGGACGAACTAGAACATTTAATTCAGAGTAAAACTCATTACAGTTAGGTATGTTTTAAAAAAGAAAGTTATTAATACTGTACATGTTTTTATTCTTAGGTCACCAGAGAACTACCGAAGTCCACAGCAGAACAGGCCTCCCCTAGTGAATGGGAATAGTCCTCACACTCCCATGCACGCGCGAGGGCCGTCCCTCCCTAACGTGCCGTCTAACGATCATGCCAAATATAGGTAAGAAGCGAGTTTTCGTACGGGAGAAAGTCATTCTATTCACACAAGGTTTACTTAGTACGAGCCAATGAAAAATGTTTAGAAGTCCATTGAAAGCATAGCATATAATGTAAAATAGGCCTATTCAATACTCAATATGTTTATTGATACCTTTTGTTAACAGATTTCTTTTATACGTTACTAATTCCATGTGGTCCCTGTATGTAATTCAAATTCAAATTATTTATTGCATGTCACATGGGTAAGGGTGGTAATAAATAAATGGTAAAATGAGAATGTTCAGTTCTCTTCTGATCTCAGAATCATGATTTACTGCATGGCACTTAATACAATTATTTTGATTGTCTAGTGGAAGAACAAATTCGGCCTCCCAAGCTGATTACACGGGCCGTGGAGGAGCGCCAGTCCCTCCATACAAACCCGTGCCTCCGCCTAAACCGAAACACTATCGGCCGCCTGACAACGGTCACCATCCTAGGAACGGGGTAAGTAGAATTTTGATTATGTTTTTCGATATTTAGTTTCACTAAAGCACTTGTAGTAGATCATTTGCTAAAAGCTGATCATTTTATCACATCAATAACTGTAGTTATGTTCTCGTGTGGAAGTGTTGGTAACAATCATATCATCCAAATAGCTAAGATAAAGTTTTTGGTAAAATTTATTACAAAAAAGTAAAAAAGTATTTATTATACGTTTGGGAGGATATTGTAGCCCAAAAGGCAATATTTCCATTTGTTTCCACTAGCTAGAAACTTTTTGACAGCAATAAAATTTACTTTATGTTGTTAGGACTACATGATAGAATGCCCCGCATGTATCCAATTAATTTTGATCCTATAAGCGTTGTCAAACTAATTTCGTATTTTTGTACTTTTTTATTGTAGTAACAAGATTAAAATAACATTGTTTAACAACATGTAAAGGATGGATTTTATAAAACCTTAAGATAAGGCACAGACCACCGATTTTTAGTTGGCCGATAGTTGGGCCCGATTTTAATTTGTATGAAGAATCGGCCAAATCAAATCGGTGTAATGTGCGCACTTCCATACATGTCCATAGTGATCAACTGCCCGACTAAACTATCGGCCGACGAAAAATCGATGGTCTGCGCCTCGGCTTATACCTACGAAAAATCAATGGCTTTTACGACCTCCATTGACTCGGCCCATATCTCACACTTAGGGTTCCCAACCCTCCCGGATTGCCCGGGAGACTCCAGAAATAATGGTTAACCTCCCGACCTCCCGGAGAGCAATATTTTCTCCGGTATTTCTAAAAATTAAATGCATCCATTGCTGCTCGTACTTGTTTATAAATTTTATCTTTAAAAGAACCAATCACATGGACCAGCATTACTAAACTCCAGGAATTATTAAATATTGATGTTACGGTTAATGTGATAAATTGAAAATTATTAATAATAACCGGTTATTATGAATAATTACCGATAGTCGCGGTAAAAGTCATAAATTAATCACATTTAACAGTGATTATTTAATAATTCAACCTTAGTACTAACAAACATGAAAGAGAACAACATCTTGTGTACGTGCTCGTGTAGAGCCAAACTTTTGAACGTTTTGATATCATATATTAATATAATTTGGCATAATGAGTTTGGAATGTTTCTTGCATAATATTACTTTTCCATGATGCCTATAACATAATGTTTTGATTTAAAGTGAAAAATAGGTTAAGGTGCGACGGGGGTGGTCACGTTTGTTCTTTCCATTCCTGTCTCTATTAATGCTTCATTCGAGCGCGTATTCAGCGTGATGGAGCAACTATGGAGCAAGCCCCCCCCCCACAATTCTCCTGGGTTGGTCCTTTCAAGAGTTGGCAACCCTACTCACACTGCACTCCCCTCAGAGCATGGAGCCGGGCCCGCCGGCGGGGTCGCCGCGCGCGCCGGCCGCCTACCCGCCGCCGCACCACTACCAGCACCAGCACTCGCACTCGCAGCCGCACCGCCCGCACAACAACTACCAGCAGGTAACGCACTTATTACACATAGGCTGAGTTGCACCACCTAACTTTAACGGTAACTATAACGATAACCGGTGCTTTTTGTATGGAGTTTGACAGATTTTGACGTTTGTTAAAGTTAAAGTAAGATGGTGCAACCTAGTCCTAGATTTTATACAATCGTCTAATTGAACCCTCAATCATATTATTTTTGAACGCTATAGCCTTGTCTTAAGGTTCTCCCCCAATGATTTGCACGTTGACGAAATGAAAACGTCCTATAGTTGAAATGATGATGATGATGATAATTACACGTCTTTGGCTCCAGGTTTGGCTAGTGCTCATAATAATAACATTTGGAAGCGAATCTACCTGTCTAGCCAAAAACTATTCTTAACCTTGTCCAGCAACTTAGATACAATAGTGGCCTCATAATCATCAGGTCATTTAGATTTCACTACCAGAGCACGACCCTCTCAAATTTACAAATATTGGATTTACCGACCTATAGTTGGCTATATTGTTATAATCGTATTTTTTGTTACAGCAAAACATGTACGGCGGTCAAATGCCGCCGCAGTCGCCTCCGTACTCCGGGCCGCCATCGCACCACCGCGCCATCAACCTGCCCCATAACCCTCATCTTATAGGTAAGTTGGATTTCAACTCGACGTACACTTAATTATCATCATCATCATTTCAGCCACAGGACGTCCAATGCTGAACATAGGCCTCCCCCAATGACTTCCGCATCGCACGGTTGGTAGCGGCCTGCATCCAGCGCCTTCCTGCTACCTTTATCAGGTCGTCGGTCAACCTTGTGGGTGGACGTCCCACGCTGCGTTTTCCGGCTACTTAAATACAGCTAAAAAGCTCAATTTAGATTCTTAAGATTTTGCTAATTACGAATTTATGTATTAGTTTGATTCAAATCACATCCGACTTTTATAAAAGCTTGTAAAAGATGATAAAGGTTAAGGCTTATCGTCTTAAATCGATAAAATGCTTCGATAACTGTTTATGTGACCTCGGATAGCACGATAGAAGTTGAAGAAGATTATCGTGGTGATACGAATGCAAATCTTTTATTCAATACTTAGTCCCTTTCCAGGGCGCTTATACGATAGTTTTTGTTGTTAAATTCAAAACGAATAATATAGCCTTTTAGTTTCTATAGTCTGGTCCGTGAGCACGTAGACTTTTGTCCAATGACCCCTAGCTACGCATCCTTATCGCTCGCGCGTAATTATGTTGCTATCGCGCTCGCATACTCACTGCGGGTGTCAGTCGCACAATCGCGACAGCAATATAATTACGCGCGAGCGATAAGGATGGGTAGCTAGGGGTCATTGGACAAAATTCTACGTGCTCACGGACCGGGCTTTAGAGCTCCTTCATTTCCTTAGGTTTGGTTATAATCTAAACTTACAAACAGGTGAACATAAAATAATTGAACATGTTTTTTCTCAAGATTTAGCTGGCAGCAGAGAGCAGAGAGGATCTGCATTCGAACTCTACAGGAAACCGCAACACATGCACAACCTGAGGTAAGATGACCTATAGATAGAACACACTGCACCTATGACAATAATAATGTACTTGTTCTAGTATGATTTTTTCGGCGACACTACTCAACGTTACCCTAATGACGTTCGTCTTTAGATTCATTTTCCAGTGTTTTATTTGATTAACAGTTGACTTTCATAGTGCATGTTCCTAAATCTGAAGCCCCAAATTGGAAATTTTCTTTCGCAGATACATCTTCCCCATTTTATATAGTCCCTGTACAATTTGCTCTAACATGCAAACACCAATCGCTTCACAAACGACTAACATGTCTTGACGGGCCACATTAGTTATGGTTTTGTATATGGTTATGAAGTTTTTATATATTTTGTAACATATATCGCTGTCGGAACGTTGTAAAATAACATATTGTTATGTATTTAGAGTTGTCATAAACAACTATTGGCAGTGCGTGTCTGCATTTTAGTGCAACTTGATTTAAATGAAAGCATATTGAACTAAGTTGTCTTAACTTTTTCTTCCATTCTCATCTCTCATTCATCTAATATAAAAGTCCATTTATTTTTACCATTCTTTGTTTGGTCTTTCATAGCAGTTCATTTGTTTCATATGTATATTGCTTTCATTTACATTATATTTTTTCGACATTTATTTCAATATGCTTTTACAGAATCACAAAATTTATCATGAGAATACAGTTGATCAAAACATTTCGGATTATTCAAAATATTTTTGAAATAAAACAACATTTTTGTGTAAAAAACAATAACGTTGATACTTGAAGCATTTAAACGGTCTAAAATATAGGAATTACATAAGAAAGTAAATTGAATAATCTGTAATGTTCGGAAATAGTTTGTTCAGTAACTAAGTGGGTATTTGGTTGTGGGTTTCCGCAGTTCTGACGCCATGAATTCGAGCGTGGAGCGCGACGAGTCGTTCTCCCCAAAAACTAAAAAGAAACTATCGAAAAAGCCATCGTTCATTAAAAACGCAGTTCTAGATTTGTTCCGATCCAAATCGAAAAATTCGCAAAAAGTCTCCAGGCAGAAGTCGCTTTGTGAAAGTGACTTGCAACAGAGACACTTGCCGATGCTCAGACGCGAAAAATCCGATGTCAGCGATCTGAGTATACACATGAGAAACCAACAAATAAGAAATCAGATGTTGCAGCGAAGCAACTCGTCCTGCGAAAAGCCCGTTCTTAAGCCGATACTAAAACGACAGAGTTCATTCTGTAACGAACGAAATGGGTCTATCTGTACAGTCAGAGACTACGACGCCAAACCGGTCGTCAAGAACCTTAGAAGACAGAATTCCATGTGCGACATTGAAACAGAACCGAAAGTTACCCCATTGTTGCGTAGACAAAACTCTCTCATAGAATACAATAGGAGAGGAATCTACGGACAAACCTCAAGCTTTAACATGATTACCAAAATAGATCCCATTTACCAAAGACAGCAGCAAAAACATGAACCATTCCACCCGACCCAGCCGCTACCTCCAGAACCGTTGTACCAAAGCAAAGATCACCTCGTGTACGATCCGATTCCAAAGCCCAGAAGGACTTATACCTCATCGCTGTATGATACCTCCAGTGAAAATCCTTATGCTACTAGATCTGAAGCGTCTAATGCTAGCTTTGAAAACCCGTATGGTAATCGCCAGACGATGGCGATGCCCTTGATGGATCCACCTTATGCTACTAGAGCCGAATGTGTAAGAGAAAACCCGTATGCCACAAGGGCTGAATGTGCGAGGGAGAATCCCTATGCCACTAGAGCAGATTGTACTAGAGAGAATCCCTATGCTACCAGGGCAGAATGTATGAGAGAGAATCCATACGCTACCCGAGCAGAATGTGTGAGAGAAAGCCCATATGCCACTAGAAGTGAATTGATTTCAGAAAGCCCGTACGCTACAAAACAAGAAATCAATAAACAACAAACAGAATCTCTTTACAGTGAATCACCGTATTCAAGTAAGGAGCAGATGTTGAGACAGAGAATGGTATCCGAAAGTCCTTATTCGACTAAAGAGGAGATGCTACGACAGAGGTTTTCTGAATCTCCGTATAATACAAAAGAGGAGTTGCTGAAGCAAAGAATGGATGGAACTTTTACAGCAAAGGAACCTCTGTATGGTAAAAGAACATACGATCCTCCTCCGAGTACATCTTGGTCAGAGAGTTCTTATGCCGTGAGGCCGGATAGGCGATTGCAAACGCCTGTGAGTTTCCCAGGCAGGGTGTCACCTATGAGCAAATGTATGAGTGAGCCTCCGTATGCTTCCAGAACTGAAATGATGGCTCGACTTGGGCAAGCGGAGTCACCGTACGCCACACGATCAGAGATCAAGTCCAGCTGTTCTGAAAATAATTACAGTACTCATCAGGAGTTGCCCGATATTAGACATGATATACGGCCTGCTTCTGCAGAGTGCACGTATGTTTCAAGGCAAGAAATATTATCACAGAAAGCGGCTTTCCAAGCCAGTAAAGAGTCCAATTATGGTAGGCTAGAAGAGAAACTAGAGATGATAAAACAGAGAAATCAAGCGAAGAAAGATCTAATTTATCAGTCAAGGAAAGAAGCCAATGAAAGCGACGCTGCTAAAATGCGTGAGCCTTTGTATGTTTCTAAACGAGAATTAAAAGAGAGTGTAATATATGAATCGCAGCAAGAGGCTAAGGATTTATCTCAAACTCCTGCCCAAGATGGTAGCGCAAGAAGTAGTCCTTATGAGTTGAGCGATGCAAACCATTTATCACGTCGTGAACCTCTGTATCAATCTAAAGCAGAAGCTCAAGAAGTGACAGAAATTGAAACATTCCAAGAGATTGACTTCTCGACGTTGAGGTTGACTGAATCTAAAACTGATACAGAAAAACAAAACTCGTTGAATGTGGAGACGAAAATATTAAAAGGGGAACCAATGTATGCCCCTAGATTGCACGGTAAAGCTGAACACATATCAAACGCTTTGAAAGCGACCACGTCTTTACCTTACGAATCTACCACATCTATGGAAACCCATTACGCTTCTGAGTGTAGCATGAATTTTGAGAATAAGCCACAAAGTACACCCTATACATCGCAAGATTTTCAAGAACGCGCTGGCAAATCTAATAGATCGGTGACGTTTTGTGAGAAAATAGTAGAAAAGAGCGCTGAGACGAGTCAGGAGAACTCTGAAAACATGTCTGCTAGTCAGAATGAAACTACAGTTGTAAATAACCAGAGTACGATAGTGCTGGCTGAAGGGAATGATTCTGTAAATAAAAGTGAAGTGGAACCAGAAGGTCCTCATACCACTTGGGGTATATTTGACAGTGAAGGTGGAGTGTTGGAGGACAGACAATGGGGAGTGTCATTAATTATACCTCCGAAAGCGATCGCTCCTGGCATCAAGCAAAAAATCTACTTTACCGTATCAGACCCAAGACTGAGTCAACGAGTGGGGGGACCTCCCATCGATATGGACAACGGTAATGCTTTTATAACAAGGCACGCTCCCTGTAGTGTCGTAGTTTGCACATACTAATTGGCCATTAACGTTTGCGGATTGCAAAATTGACACGGAAATACACACGTTTGCCAAAGTTGGGGAATTTTGTGAACAACGTTTTATGTAGTTTGAAAGAATGTTGGCGATCTGTTGCACGGAATGTTGTGTAGAAAAGGATGCATGCGGAGCACTTGTAGTCTTATATTTTACCTATAACTTATTATGTGTACATCATTACTTACATTTATTTCTTATCACTTATTATTTTACTTGATCATTAATTCTTATATATTTTCTGCATGTTTTCATCTACTACAGTATCAATATCATCAACACCATAACTGCATGAAACAAGTAAATAATTTATTAAACCTCCATATGACTGGTCATAACTAACAAAGCCGTGTTTTACTACGCAGCTTCTACCACACAATACACTCGTACTTAGAGATTGAGGAGAGAAGGCGTCGACGACTATGCCACGTTCAGCCAACAATATGATCGTATGTTGAAACAGATGTTTCACGATTTTTATGCACTGTAAATATGTGCAAGTTTTAAACCTCCGCACTGTTGTTTCCAATTGGTCTTTCTGTCTGTCTTAAATGTTTTTTTATCTAAAATCTAAATTACCGTCAGTCGAATTCTGTTTTAGTGTTACCCTAAATTTGTGAGAGTCTGGATTGCCTATCTCCTTAGCCAAACTGCTTGTTCGTTAATTATGTGTGTGCTTGTTGCTTGCATAACAATAAAATTGGCATTACATTTTGCGATTTGTGTTTGTGTGTTGAGTTTTTGTCCTACGTATTCGATGTCACTCTTAATCCCATTTAATGAATTCCACGATTACTTCTAACTGTCAAAAACAGATGCACTACTTTTTTATGCATTTTGTACTTTTTCACTCTTAAAAAAACCACAATAACATTAAATTAAACTTTACCAGTGTCTTACAAGATTGCCAGGTGCTTAATTTTTGTCTAAAAAGTATAAACCAGGAATTTAATCTGCTGTTTCTTAAAATGGACAAAATTAAATAGTAACTCAACTGAATTCTAAGTTTTATAGTTCCTTTCATTAGACTTTTCAGTTTTATAAACCTGGCAGTCCTGTTGAAATGTCTACCAGATTTTAATCATCATCTTCATCGTCAATTAGGTGAAGCGATGCTGTCCCCTCTCGTGATGTGCGGCCCGCAAGGCCTGGTGTTCCTCAGGCCTGTGACCCTCCGCCTCCCACACTGCGCCAACGCCGTCCCCTCCCTAGGCCTGACGATCAAAGCGACCGACACAGAAGCACACCTCAGCACAGACTGGGACCAAATTCATATTCCAGGAACGACGACTCTTAACACTGTCGCTGTAAAAGTGGATCATTTCTAAATTGTTAATTTTTAATTGTAAATGAAGAGCGTCTTCATTATTTATTGTATTTTACTTACGTCGTTATTCGTCTTGTTTTTAGGAGTTGACCAACTGAAATATTGGTAATCTGGACCTTGCAAAGGCCCTTGAAAACAGGTAGATGTGATACCTAAATTGTGGTTGTTTAAAGATTGTTGGTAATTATGATTGCGGTCTTGTTATTGTTTGCAAGTGATGCATTTTGAACCTTAATATCGATGCCTTTTTAAATATAGTTTTGTAAAGTATATCTGGCTCGAAGGACCAGATAGAAACTAAAAATTCATACAAAAATAAACCCATTTTAAAAATGTGCATTTAGTAACTTGCATTTTGGTAGGCGTTGGATGCTTTTCAATATTTGGCATTGATTCCCACCTATTAAAATTTAAATTTTCTGCCTTCGTAGTTAGTGGTGCTAATATAAACTAAAATCATGAGTAGTTTTGGAACTACGTGATGAATCTCTTGTGAGCTTACTAAAGTGATTTGTATGAGAGATTTTAACCGACTCCAAAATGGAAGGTTATAGAATGACTGCTTGGAATGTAGTAATTTTTAAGCAATGCCTTACCATAAACTAGGTTAAACTTAGCTGTAGTTCTATTATGTTCATATTATTGTAATAATATTAATATTCATTTTGTATTTAGCAATAATGTGTAACGGAATGTTAGTTAACAAAATTTAATATTTTTTGTATTTTGGCTTCCATTTCCTTATTGGAGTTGTTGTAGGATTTGAATTTTGATTGAAAGATCATTGCATGGTTGTAATGTATCGGAAAGAGTCAGTTACGGCGTATACCTATTCAGTAATCACATAATGCGATTAATATTGTATATTTTATTGTTATTAGCTGTATGATGAGTTTATCTTTGACTCGCCCATTAAATTTTATATCAATAAGATTTGGTTTTATTTATGAAGTCCAGTTAATGCGATGTTTATCCTCTATCTGAAAAGCAATTAAAAGTAGATAGGTACGTAGTTGATGATAAAATAGATCAAGCTGAAATTATGCCACCAATTGCATTTTACTGGTAAAATGTAACTACCTACATTATTTTGAACTTTGCCCTAAAATAATGGAAAAATTTTAATTGCTTGCAGATGCGTAATTCTGTGGTTTATCTTGTATAAATTATTTCAATTTTATTTAAGCGGAAAAGTATTGAGAAATTGAACACACTTATTTACTTCACTTAGCATAGCTACATTATGAGTTGACTTGAAATTACGAGATATTTGAATACATCTTGAAGAACATAGAACGTGAGAATCTTCTAAATCATCGTAATGATCCTACACATTCACATACGTCTAAATTACATGCATTTATAGAATGTGGCAAAGTACATGATCCTTAGCACACTAGGGGGCATAAGATGCTGCCTTTGGTCGATGCTTACAAGTAAAATTGACACAAAAGTATATTATTTAATGAATCCGCTAATACACAGTTATAATTTCAGTGAATATTATCAGTGATTCATGAATATTAATTTCAAAGTTAATATTTCAGTTTCATGGATTAGCGCGGTTTAAGTTGTCCATCAAAAACAAACGTAGTAAACGTACGAGTAGTTATGATGGAACTGCAATTTTTCTCAATTTGAGTCCTACCACCGTTATTTTCCCGCTATAAACATATTAATTCAATATGTTCATTTCATGAATTGCAGTAGAATAACATTCCCAGATAAGATCCGTACTCGTGTCGTTTTTGCAGGGCTAGTATGCATGCAGCATTTTATGCATCGTAGCGAGTGTCTCAAGTGGCGAGTGAGAAGTCCTAGATTATTGCGGTCACGGAGATGGCGCTGATCGAGTACACTCACGCGCATCTGACACCTGTCACTTAGTCAACGGTACAGTGACACTACAGAACTAGGACCAGAGTATCTTAACTACGACCTAGCTTTGTATCTTTGTAAATAAGTAGGTGGGTACTTAAATGTGTAGGTAATAAAAGGACAAGTAAGTTTTTACACTGAAACTTTTCTAAAAAAAAAACATAACCCTCCTTCTGGTGCTGTCGGGTAGTTAAAGTTTTCTTGTGAGGAAAAAGTAGGTACATATGATACTTAAAAAAGCGGTTCTCTTGCAAGTAAAAATCACTAGGTGCTGGTGCTCTAAGTGGACTACGCTTACGTCAAACTGATGTTAAACATAAAAGTTTTCGTTTTGTTAGAAAATACATACCTAAGTACATCAACTTTTTAAGCTAAGGACACTATCGGTGTGAAACTAATCGATTTAATATCTATAATAAGGGTCAGCATTCCCACCCTGTGCTATCTATAATCACCCATGTTTCTGCAAGAAGTCAAGTAGTTATTTACTTACATTATGATCAAGACTGTACCTACGTATTTCACAGTGGCGTAGCTTGGGGNTATGAAATGTGATTCCTTGATTTTTGTTCGTTCGATCAGAACGGTTTTTACACAATTTCACCACGCAAGACATGTCGTATTTGTGTTTTTTTTTCGCCGCGTAAATGTGTCAACTGTGTGAAGTTTGCACTCGAAGTGGTGTATCAGGGTATGAATGTGTGCGTGCCGGCCTGTACGTACAGGCAAGCTGGTGTATCCTAATGTCACAGTATTTTGTTGATGAGAATCCGTCCGACTTTTTTTATAGGTCCATGACATTAGACGCCATGTTGTCATAAACGACATATTATAAAATCGCTGTGATTTAATATTCTTAATCATTAATTTTATGGCAAGTGTCCATCAGGAATCATTGTTCTTACACACAGAATCGTATTATTTCGCTTTCGGGTAGTAATATGTCAAAATTGTTGGTTTTTAGGCGAACAATGTATGGAGAACGAACATTGTCCTTTCTTTGACCAAAGTCAGTTTAGAATTAAGGCGCGCGCGCACGGGTCACTTTTTGTCACCGTGATAGTATATCTTGCTCTTAACTTTCATAAAGAGAAAAAAAAAGACAGCGTAGTGCTTATTCTTGTCTATGAAGAGACTTAGGTATATCTTTAAGCAAGCATCGTTTGTGAATACGGGCAATACTGTCACGGTGACAAAAGTCACCCGTGCGCGCGCGCCTTTAGCGGAAAATTAATGGGAGACATAGAAGTGTTCTCATTATGAAATGAAAAGCTCTAGCCTGTTCACGAAGCCTCATTAATTAAGTGGTTTGGACCTTTAGCACCTTCATTATTTGCGACATTTGCTGGTTATAATAATGAGACATATTTAATTTTGTCATTAAATCTAGACCACTAATAGCACCATGCAACTTAGGTAAACACATAGTTAAGTACTACCATAGATCGATTGTAGCGTCTCTACACGACGAGCTAGTCTAATGCTACAAGACTCTTACTCTGTATTTTCTTTAAAGACGACTTTTTTACAATTTCCCATTATTAATTTGAACTGGACATTTCTGAATTGATTAAAGTTGTACGGTTTCAAAGTTAACGTAAATTATTGGTGAAACGGGGATGCCATAAAACCAACTCAAAAGTCTACGAAATTATGTAACCAATTAATCAAATGTTTAAAGCATACTGGATAACTCTTAATTTACCAGTAGGCTGGAGCTGGAACAAATATTTTTTGGGGGGTATGTTCGTTCTTATGTACACACTACGGTATTTGTTACTAACCAACATACCATTGCAAAGCTAAATGTTTGGAGTACATGGTACGGGGGCAGGCATCAATATCAACCTATGATTATGTCAGTAATGACTTCATTTTGGATGACATGGCCGGCACTCGGTGTCCATTATAATAATAACATGTGACCTCTATTGCAGATGATTAACAAGTAAAGCGTGTGTTTATAGGTTTATCTAGACTCTCTAGAGTCTTTTATAATTAAAGTGATTCTTGTTTGCAATAGGCCAAATCAAATACTAGCGACCCGCCCCTGCTTCGCACAGGTACAATGTATTATACTAACTTCAAAACCTTCTTCTTGAATTACACTATCTAATAAAAAGAATCGCAACAAAATCCGTTACGTAGTTTTAAAGTAAGCATACATAGGGACAGAGCGTAAAGCGACTTTGTTTTATACTAGGTACTTAATGAAGAATTGACAAATAAACAGACAAGAGTTTTGAACTTTTATTACATTCGGGTACCGCAGGACCGGTGTTTGGGGAAATCCTTGAGAGGTCTTTTTCCAGCAGTGGATGTCATTTGGTTGAACTTTACTTGTTTCTGTGAGTACGTACCAACAAATTTATTTACATCTTTGGCTGTTTCTAAATCAAAAGCTTCGTGTCTCTATCAATCCAATTAATTTGCCTGAGTTATTAAACTTCACTGTCTTGGTTTCAGTTAGGTATGCGATTTTTGAGGGAGTAACAACTACGAGTATCTATTCTTCAATGAAGACAATGAAGTCCATGTAGGTAAGTTTATGACCATTTTCATTAAAAAAAGCTTAAATTGTATTCAGGTACATTTGTTATTTTTAAGTAAGAAAGCTTTATGTTTTTCTGACTTTGATTGGTGATCCATTAGGGTTTACAGTGGGATGATGTACCTATAGGACATAGGATTGTGTTGGTGTAGGGGTGGTAAAGAGTGAAGGGTGTGACTGGCCACCAAAAGCTGTAGATCCTGGCTACACAGGCGTTGCAGCGATGGGAACGAGGGGTGGGAATTGTTCCGTGGCCAAACGTATTTTGAAATAAAGCGATGGATAATACCTACATGAACTTTATGTCTTGCATAACCTGTCTCAAACACATTAAAACAAAACCATTATAGATAAAGCGATTGCCTTTTGGGCGTGTATGAACCAATCAAATATCGCTTGAAACTCATACAATTTACGGATCATCTGATGACAGGGAAAGTGTGAATCTTGTGGAACGTGTAATTATAATATTAAGCAATTAGCCAATTATGTATGGCTGCGAGGGTTCTTTGTTATCTAAAGAAACGAAATCGATAAATGATCATTATGTGCTTTTTGTGTCGGTTAATGAAAATGTGAGCTTTTTATGTGAATGTATCATTTAGAATATGTGATGCAGGCCAATATTCAGAAATAGCACTCATCATCATCATCATCATCATCATTTCAGCCATAGGACGTCCACTGCTGAACATAAGCCTTCCCCAATGCTTTCCACGTTGATCGATTGGTAGCGGCCTGCGTCCAGCGCTTCCCTGCTAGCTTAGAAATAGCACTCACACTCGATTTATTAGCTGGGTTGAAAATTTTTAAGGTTAAGGATAAAGGTAGGAGATTAATTAATTAAAACAAACCAACATAAAACAGACAGATTGGCAAAATATACGCAACGGTGAGTTCCAAATGAAGGAGGAGCACGAGCCAATTGTTAAAACAACCGAATCTAATTTCTAGTTTAGATAAACGATTTAGTTACGCAATCTCAAAACTAAAACTCACATTTTATTTAGTACAATTTAGATAAAGTAAATAACTCTTAGAATTCAACATCGTGACACATTAAGCAATCCCTATAGCCGAAAAAACGTGACGTTTTGTATCACGCATCAATATCACATTTATTTATTCGATATCCCGTACGATTGCAACGTCTGGTGGGAACATCGTGATTATGAGTGTACTTTACGTTATCGTGTATAGGAACGTCGTTACTTATTATTTGTTTTGGTTTTACCATAGTTACCTATTTAGGCTGAGTTCCACGACCTAACTTTGACCGTAACTTTGACGATAACCGGTGTTTTTTGTATGGAGTTTGACAGATTTTTGACGTTTGTCAAAGTTAAAGTAAGAAAGAAAGAAAAAATATTTATTTGGTACTAAAATAATGATAACACATTGACATTAAAAAGTTAAGACGGTGCAACCCAGCCTAAGTATACTAGTTACTATCAGAACAGAATATTTTTTATAATAGTGGATTGGTGCAGTTTAAAATTAGG